AATAGATCAAGGAGACTCCTCAGCGAGTCCTCCTGTTGTATCCTCACAACTAACTTGTTGAAGCTTAAAGGGTAACCACTCCCTCATCATTTATCTCAATAGTTGGTTCTAGTTGTGGGTCAGAGTAACAAACTCTTGGTTGTTACAGCAAATGGAGGCAACCAAGCTGCTGCTCTATTATGGAAGGGACTATGTGGTTACTACAAATCCAGAAGCAAAGTCGTCATAATGGACACTAGAAGAAAGCTACAGAATCTTAAATGCAGAGAGAAAGATGATGTGAAGACCCACATAGACAAAATGCTCCATTTCCACATGCTTCTTGCAGACATGGGAGGCCCAGTTTCAGATGATGACTTTGTCTCCATGGTGATCACATCACTCCCATCATCCTATAGAAGCTTCCTATCATCTTTAACAGTAACCTATGAAACACTTGGTAAACCTTTTCTACCTGATGTTCTTGTCACCTGAATCTACAACAAATATGCTCAACAAACTGCCATGTCAAGACCTGACAATAGCAAAGCTTTGAACTCAGCCCTATCAGCTCATTCAGAACAAAGACATAAAACCCAAACCTGCTACAACTGTGGCAAAATTAGACCAGCTTTGGTGCTCCCCGGGGTGGCACAATCTTGATGGGATGGTCAAGAGCGGTGACAAGAGCCCTTGGCGCTTCTGGCTCTGAGGCCACTGGCTTACGGGACTTGCTCCCCAGGCTTGTGTTGTTGTCCCAGACGCACTTGTACTTTTCCCGGCTGCACTTGTTGCAGGATGTCCTCCACTTCTTTGTCTGCTTACTCCTGCTGATGGTGAAGGCAGACTTGTCCAGCCTGCACCGCTTGCACCCCTCCTCCATGCTCTTCCTCTGCAGATCCTCTACACCCCTGGTAATCTCTATTGTAACAACCAAGAGTTAGTTACTCTGGCACACACAAGAACACACTATAAAGGTAGTGAATAGGGAGTGGTTACCCCTTAGACTGCAGAGAGTTTGTTGGTTAACAACAGGAGGACTCGCTGAGGAGTCTCCTGGATCTATTGGGGTATATATACTAATACAGAGTGTTTATACTTATGTACTGTACAGTTGATAAAGTCAGTGGCTGATGATGTCATGGGGCCTAGCCCGCATGATCAGCTCCACTGTGTGAGAGAGTTGTATCTAAAATAAGAAAAAGGCAACACGGCACGAGAAAGAGGAGTTTGAACAAAAGGGGAAGTGCTGCGTGGCACCATGTGTGAAAGCTAAAGTATACAAGGTTAAAGCGGAGAATAAAAATGAAGGAAAGGTCTGAAAATTGTGTTATCGTAACACTTCCCCCCTTCTAAGGCTCGACTTCCAGGCGAGACCAAATATCGGAGGTGGTAGTTAAATTTTCGGGCATGGGTTGAAAAAGGGAATTAAAAAGTTTTGAGTCCATGCCTCTAAGCTTCCTAGGAGCTGAGGGGTTCTTAGAATAAAATTTGTGAATAGCATCGCGGGAATTGTCCAGATGGGCTTCTGGTTCCCACGTTCTGTCCTCGTCTCCATAGCCCTTCCATAGGACTAGGAACTCTAATTTGCCACGCTTCAAGCATGCATCCACCACTCGTTCAACTTCGAACTCTTCTTCACCTTCCTGGGTGACTACAACTGGTCCGGGCCGGTCTACACACTGTCCTGGCAGCGGCCCTTTGTAGGGTTTCACACGGCTAATGTTGACTGTGGGTACTACCCTCATTCGTTTTGGGAGTTCCAGCTCCACTGCATTGGGTTTGACTTCCTTAATCCGGTAAGGGCCAATCCACTTTTCGGTCAGTTTTCTAGACTGTCGATCTTTTAATTTTAAGTGGTCAGTATCTAACCAAACCAGGTCGCCGACCTTTTAGTCAGGGGCCTTAGAGCGTCTGCACTCTGCCCTGTCTTTCATTTGCTCTGCAGTTTTAAATAGCGCCTTGCGCGTTTCGTCCAAGACAGACTTCATGTCTTTGGCCATGTTCCCAGCAGCCTCGTTCTTGCTTTTACCAGGTTCTACACCCATTCTGGGGAGGTACAATCTAGTAACCTCAAATGGTGCCTTTCCTATAGCCGACAACTGTTTGATATTATAGAAGAACTATCTTTAGCCACTTGGCCCAATCTGTCTGCCTGTCATTAATAAATATCCGGAGATATTGTTTCAACTCCTGGTTGAGTCTCTCCGTTTGTCCATCAGTCTGCGGATGGAACACCGTTGATAATTTAGGTTTGATACCCAGCATCCGGCATAACTCTTTTGTAAATTTGCTAGCAAATTGTGGCCCTCTATTGGAGACAACCGTTTCTGGTAACCCATGGATAGACCATACAAAATCTTTAAATAAATCTGCCGTACCAGCGGCAGTAATGGTTTTGTTGGTGGGAATGAATACTACTTCTTTGGAGAAGCGATCTACTACCACCATTACTGAATCATACCCATTCGGCTCGGGCAGATCCGTTGTGAAATCAACCAATATATCCTGCCAGGGACCAGCTGGTATCGGATTCGGCATAAGTTTACTGGCCGGCGGTTGATGAGAATTCTTAGCCATGGCACACCTCAGGCAGGATTTTACGTATTCCTGTACGTCTTTTACCATGCCAGGCCACATATAGTTTCTGGAGATCAACTCCATTGTTTGTTGCCACCCAGGGTGCCCAGCCACTGGAGTGTCATGATGTCTATCTATTGCCTTGATCCTTGCGGACTCAGGCACATAGATTTTGTTTTTAAAATGGAAGAGCCCATCTTCCCATAAATAGTTTTCATTGCCGTCAAGGCGCGCCTTCTCTTCTGAGGAGATGTCTTTCTTGAAGACTTCCAGAAGATCAGAATCCTGCCCGATTCTAACATTGGCAACCCTTGATTGGTCTATCAAGGTAACACCTTTGTTGTCATCTTCGATGCCGTTGGCATGATCCTCTCTTCTGGACAAAGTGTCCGCTTTCCCCATAGAGCTTCCAGGCTTATGAATTAATTTATAATTAAACCTTGACAAGTATACCGCGTAGCGGGCCTGTCTTCGGTTCAAGTCTCAGGCCGTCATAAAATACTCCAGATTCTTATGATCGGTCCAAATTTCAAATTGGTGTCTAGCACCTTCTAAGTAGTGCCGCCAGTGCTTTAAGGCTCTAATGATGGCCAGCATCTCTTTGTCGTAAATTTGATAGTTGCGCTCTGTAGGCGACAAACTATGTGATAAATAGGCACAAGGCCTCCAAAGATCGTCAGGGCATTTAATTGACAGAACAGCCCCAGTAGCAAAATCAGAAGAGTCGGTTTCCAACCGGAACTCTTTGTCTAATTCTGGAAATGCTAATATGGGCGCTGTTGTAAACACCTGTTTAAGCTTATCAAAAGCTTCTTGTTCTTTGGTGCCCCAGTGCCAAACAATATCCTTTTTAGTGAGATCGTTCAACGGTCTTGTGATTTTTGCGAAGATTTTGATAAACCTTCGGTAGAAATTTCCTAAGCCAAGGAAGGCCCTAACTCCTTTTACGCGAGTAGGTTTTGGCCAGTCCAATATGGCTTGAACTTTCTCAGGATCCATCCTGATTCCGTTCTGGCCTATGATCATACCGAGGAAGTCTACTTCCTTCACTTTAAAATTACATTTTTTGGGTTTGACGAATAGGTCCCATTCCTGTAAGCGTTGAAGGACTTCTTGCACAATCCTGTCATGCTCAGCCTCATCGTCCGACTTCGTAAATATCAATAAATTGTCAATGTAAATGATGACACAGTTTTCCATATCCGCAAAGATCTCGTTCATCATGCTCTGGAAGGTTGCCGGTGAGTTGGTCAACCCAAAGAACATAACAAGGGGTTCAAAGGATCCTCGGTGGCACGTGAACGCGGCCTTCCAAGCTTCTGCTTCTTTGATTCGTACATTATTGTACCCCCATCTGAGATCCATCTTTGTCAAGATCTTGGCACCAGCCAATTTGTCTACTAGCTGACTGATCAAAGGCAGCGGATACGCATTTTTAACTGTGTGCTCATTCATGTAACGATAGTCCATAATCATACGCTTCTTACCATCCTTTTTAGGAATGAAGAACACCGGGGACGTCATAGGGCTTTTAGAAGGTCTGATGTAACCCTTCCTAAGCTGTTCGTCTATGAAACTTGATACCTCATCTCTTTCTGCACTTCCCCTTTTCTTCAAACTCCTCTTTCTTGCGCCGCGTTGCCTTCTTCTTATTTTAGATACAACTCTCTCACACAGTGGAGCTGATCATGCGGGCTAGGCCCCATGACATCATCAGCCACTGACTTTATCAACTGTACAGTACATAAGTATAAACACTCTGTATTAGTATATATACCCCAATAGATCCAGGAGACTCCTCAGTGAGTCCTCCTATTGTTAACCAACAAACTCTCTGCAGTCTAAGGGGTAACCACTCCCTATTCACTACCTTTATAGTGTGTTCCTGTGTGTGCCAGAGTAACTAACTCTTGGTTGTTACATTAGGACTCACTCTTCTACTCTCTCGCACGTTGTGCAAAAAGTCCCACTGGGCACCCGGACTCCAGGGTGAAGGAGATTTGGTTATTGGTTGGGAATATCCCGCATAGCAGATAGGTGCGCTCTTCATGACGGCCTTGTAGTGCTTTGGGAGAAGAAACAAAACCTTTGATACGCGGCCCCCAGCATTAAGGGGAGTACTTAGCTCAGCAGTCGGTGTGGAACCACTGTTGATTAGAATTTACATACAAAACTTCACTTTCTCTTTCCTCTGACCAGGCCGGGCACTTGCCTCCGCCAGTCTGGAGAAGGGTTGACAGCTTAACAAGCGGACCACCCCCTGACAACCGTTCGGACCAGGGTTTAATACTATAACTTTTATATAAATTTTCAAAATACTATAGTGTGGGTAGTCAGAGATTGAGATCCGATACTCAGCTGGGAAGAGGTAGATCCGCAGATAGCAAGCGGGGACCCCCAGTTACGTTTTTTTTATTACTTTACAAAGAGAACAAGTTGACATGTTGTCGCAACCAGATATCAATGCCCTGCTGCACAACATGTGTGTGCAGATTCAGGCATTGACCACTCAACTCGCTGAGCTGTAGGCAAATCCCCTGCGGCAAACCCCTCGGTAGAGAAAAAGTTCAACAAGAAAGTTGAAGTCGTCGCTGACCCTGGTGCCTCCGAAGGAGACAGAGCGCAATTTGCTGAATGGTGGATCAAACTCCAGATTTGGGTTAAGGCAAACTGGGATGCATTTGCCAATGACTTTGAGGTAGCCACTGCGGTGCTATCTCAACTAAAAGGACCTGTGGTGGGTCAATACGCCCAAGTTAGATTACAGGAGTGCTACACCGCGGGAGTGTGGCCAACCTGGGACGATCTCAAGAAAGAGATCGAAAAATATTTTAAACCACAGGCTGAGCGTGACTGGGCATGTCAGCAAATGTGCTCCTTCAAACAAGGAAACATGAGGACGGATGATTACGTTACCCGGTTCCTGGCCCTCTCCATCCAAGGAGGGCTTGGAAATGAACATGCAGTAGAACTGCTGGAGCGCAATGTGAACCCCCGCATTGCAGAACAGATCTACTTGCAGGATACAAGAAACAAAAACCTGGCCCTGGCGGCTGAGGAAGTACAATGAATCGGTAGAGCCATGGAGCTTTACCAAATGCACCAAGGTGGCGGGTCCACCACCAAAAACAACACATCCCAGAGGCGCCCTGGGTCATCAAACCATCAAAACCATTCTCACGGGTTCAAGCCGTTCGGGCTGCAACCAGGGCAGGGAGCCCCTTTGGATATTGGCGCGGTCCAAGGAGGACAGATGCGCAGATTCCAAGGGAACTGCTATAATTGCGGCCAAGAGGGACACATGTCCTGAGACTGCAGAAAAGGAGTGCAGGCCGCTCAACAAAAAAATAACCAAGGGCGCCAGGCGCGTCAATTAGAGTCCGAGAAACTGGACAATTGGCTTCAGACTCTGACCGGTCATTCGTACGACGAAATCCGGGCCTTCTTCTACGATCAGCAGGCTGCTGAAATGAAGGCTCAGGGAAAAGAGTTCAGAGCTTAGGTCACTTGGGTGCCTTCGCTCCTATGAACAATAAAGTAAACCACAACAAGGTGGCCCCTGCTCCGGGGTGTTGCACGAGCAATAAAGGAAAGACGGGGATGGCTTCCCAATTTGTAAATAGATTTTTAAATTTGTTATCTGAAGTATGTACTTGTATAAAACATTGTGACTGTAAAATTAATGATACTACCGCTGCACCAGCGTCTCCCTTGGAGCGTGGCCCCGGCGAGACAAACACTAGGGTGCTTGATTCTGGTAAAAATAAAATAGAAAAACATGTAACTTTCAATACCCCTTTTTCTTCGCTGGAGCCACCCTTTCCCGATATCCCAAGGCGTGTGTTGATGCACACATATTTATTCCAAAAGGAGATCTGTTTACACGTTGGTGTGGAAAACCTTGCCCGGGGCATAGTACACCCAACCAGCGCACTGCTTGATTCAGGCGCTAACGGAATCTTCATAGATCAGGCCTGGGCAGAGCAAATTGGACTCCCCCTTCTAAAATTAGATGTATCTATTCCCGTCTATAATGTTGATGGTACGCTTAACGCGGGTGGCTGCATCACGCACAAATGTTCTTTTGTTGTCGAATACCAAGGACACAGAGAACGAGTCACCGCTGAAGCTACCCAACTAGGGAAGATTAATTTAATCTTGGGCTGGACCTGGCTATTTAAACACAACCCTGAGATCAACTGGCAGACAGGGGTTGTCACATTGTCACATTGCCCTCAGGAGTGTGTGAACTTGGGTAAACCAACTCATGTCCGTCACAATGAGCGTCTTGAAAAGATAAACGCTGGTCACGTTTATAAGCTCAGATCTTTAGAAAAGATCGACGATGACGATGATGAGGTAAAACCCGAAGAAGAGATTAAGAGGCTGTTACCTCCCAAGTACCATGACTTCTGGAAAGTCTTTTCTAAACATAAATCAGAACGCTTCCCAGAGGCTAAGCCTTGGGACCATGCTATAGATTTGAAGGACACCTTCAAACCGAGAAAAGGACACATGATACCACTCTCTGCTCCAGAAAGAGATGAGGTATCAAGTTTCATAGACGAACAGCTTAGGAAGGGTTACATCAGACCTTCTAAAAGCCCTATGACGTCCCCAGTGTTCTTCATTCCTAAAAAGGATGGTAAGAAGCGTATGATTATGGACTATCGTTACGTGAATGAGCACACGGTTAAAAATGTGTATCCGCTGCCTTTGATCAGTCAACTAGTAGACAAATTGGCTGGTGCCAAAATCTTGACAAAGATGGATCTCAGATGGGGGTACAATAATGTACGAATCAAAGAAACTGACCCTTGGAAGGCCGCGTTCACGTGCCACCAAGGATCCTTTGAACCCCTTAATAGGACTAAGTGAAACTCAGCCGCTGCCCGAGAGGCTATAGAAACGACTTTATTATTTACCTAAGTGAAACTACAATAGATGTTAGTTTAAGGTGATCTCTAATAAATGTAATGTAACATACCTCAGCCGCTGCCCGAGAGGCTATAGAAACGACTGAGGTATTCCTATACTAAACCCCCTACTACTTATAGTCGGAGGTGCTACTTGCTACAGTATAATGACTCCTAGGAGTACAATGGCTGCTTTGGCAGAGACCGGGTTTATCCGGTTTTGTCAAGTAGCTGCTTGACACTCCAATTGACTGAATTCTCTGGCAAAAGAAGATGAAGAATACAGTACTGCTGTGGAAGGCAGCTTGAAACGGGGTGCATAGCGCAGAACAATTTTGAGTGACCCTACGTATGTGTCTTTGTTTGGCATAATCAGCTTTATTAATCAAATTGAGCCCTTGTATCCAGAACCCGGATGATCCTCACACGTACACCACTCATTTACTCAACTCAGTCACTTACAACAACATTTCCGACTCACAGCCCAATATTCGGCCATCCATGCCTAACGTTCATACCAACCCACCACGCTCTGGCGTATATATCGGCTTGGCTCAGATTTAACCCCCTTGTCATTGCTTTCTTCGATGGGTTGACAATTTTATGTTTTTCCTTGGTAGCCCTCAAAACTTTCAACTTGCTTTGAAAAACACGACTCATAGTCATCGCTATTTATCATTCTTCATCCTGGAAGTACTCGTCGCATACTGGAGATGTGACAGCTTTGGTGATGTCACGATCACTTTGGACATTAAAAATTGTTGTACACCATCTACGTCATTTGTCTGATGTGTTGGCCTCTTTTCCAGGAGAGTAACTTGGTGATTCAGAATAGGATATACATACAAAATAAAAATAATTCCAAGCATTTAAATTACCCTCCTAGTAGTCTTTCGTACGAACTTTTTCATCCATTTGATCAGGAAATTTGATCCATCGCTTCAGTACAGGCTTCCAATAAACAGGCATGGTTGTTTCCTGGATTGGCTTGACCTAAACGATCAAGAACTGCTTTCAGGATTGGATCTCTCCTGAACAAAGGCCGTAGTATGATTAGCAGTGTGAAGTGGGGAAGTAAGCAAAATCTCACTGAATTGGACCGTAAGCCACGGTGACGTCGCATTGAACGCTACCAACTGACAACGGCCATCTGGAGATAGTCTTCGTATCCAGAGTAAAGGAGATGAGGGCTTTCGCTTTCACTTTGGGAATCATCACTGAAGCAATAGCTGTGAACCCTGCAGAATTGCTAGGTTCAGAAGGAGCTATCTTAACGGAGACAGGATATTTCAAAGCCATAAGCTTTAGTTGTAAGAGAAGCTGGGAACATGATGACCAGTAGTCCCCGAGGAATTCCACGATCTGAGTTGAGTGATTGTAAGCCAATGTCCTATGACAAGCGGAAAATAGGAAGTTTACCTTGCGAACATTGCAGCCTTCTCCTAATGTTGATACCAACTGTTGGGCTGTGCGCAGCATCAAAGCATTGAGCGCTGGAAATGAATGTTTGGTACTAGTCATTGAACTTTCCACGGGCTCGATCTTTACGGCTTCAAGCAAGGGTTGATGCTTGGCACAAGGTATCGAGACGCGATAGGTAGATGTATAAATGACTTCTAACAAATCGGAGTGGACCTTGGTGATACGCCATTTGTGCAAATCCTGCATTGCTTCAAGTTCATCTAGGGGGACACCTAAGTAACAGTGACTGGATACTATCATACGAAAAATGCACCTTTGAGCCGGTATACTTCGAAGCGAGTGCTGCTCTTCTGAACATGGATGAAACGCTGAAGACTAGCGATTTCGGACGTGGTTTCTTGTTTCTGGGAGTTAATCTCATCGGATTTTTCTCGTAACCGCTGGAGTTTAGCATTGCTTTCATCCACGTCTACACGGAATGCTTCTAGTTCAGCGCTTTATGTGAAAATCAGCAATGCTTCGGGCAAAAACAGATGTTCTTGATCTTACCTTTGCTCGGCAAGGGTGGCCTTCAGCTCATTCAAGTAGTCCTGGTCACTGTTCTCAATCTCCTCCACGAGTTTCTGCTCTTCTTCCAGCTCACGCATGATCTGCTGATATTCATCTCGTAATTGAGGTAGCACTTCCCGTGCCTGACGAGTAACGCCTTCCAGAACTTTTGCATCCTGAGGGAACCATGAAATCATAAATAAGCACATTACTTTTCGAACTTACTGATTCTAGAGCTTTGAAACCGCGTTCAGCTTCCTGGTGCAGCTGCCCTACCCACTGGAGCTTCCAGTCATACCACTCCGATTTAGCTTGTCCGTGGGTATTAACCTTGATTAGTTTCAGTTGGTGGAGTAACGCAGTCCTCCCATCTTGTTCAGCTGCCATGAACTCCCTAAAAAGTTCTGGTGTTATCTTCGCCGCCTCTTCTTCCGCTTCCTCATACAGTTCTTTGATCCTTTCTATCCAAGCCTCCAGATCCTTACTCACGTGTGTATATAGCTCCAGTTGTGGAACATTGACAACTAATCCTATCACATAATCAACTAATGGGATCTCAAAATTCGCAGACGAGTGCCTTGCTGGTCGGAACGTAGAAGGGCGAATGGCAGAGCGAGGAGGAGCGGTGATTTCATCCATAAAACGGATGCCAGTGAGCTCGAGAAATTTCTGGATAGATATCGTAGGTTCTTCCGAATCTTCCTGCTGGATTCCATCTCGCCAATGCTTTGTCGCGTTCATGGTCTCCTGTCTCGATCCAGATCCTTCGCCGAGGCCTGCATGAGCGACGGTATTGGGCGGAGGTCTGGCCGCATGGGAAACATATGTACCCGGTCTAGGGGACTGCGGCAGGGATGATTTCCCAACTACCCGGTGTTCTTCCTCTTGCATACCTTGTCGAACTTCCACTGTACCCCCCTCTGGAGGTAGGTGAGATATTGATGAGGGAGGTACTTGAGAATGGTCCTTCTTACTCGGCGATGGAGGAGCAGTTGTTTTAAGGGATTGTGCGGATACTTCTGATCTACGAGGAAGAGAGGAAAATCTTCTAATAGGACCAACTCTGCTACGTTCCGTGGTTGGTCGATTATCTGTGCTCTCAGCATCGACATTAGATATAGGAGGCTCCATTTGCGAAGAGCTGGTGGGAGGTGTGAACACAGCTGAAAAATCTGGCGGTTGTGGAATGAGTAGCGATTTACGTGGTTGCAGTGGTGGGGTGAATACGGCTGAAGAATCTGGTGGTTGTGGATTGAGCAGCGATTTACGTGGTTGCAATGGTGGGGTGAACACGGCAGGCGAATTGGGAACGATTGAAAGTCGAGGGATGTTTGACCGCGACACAGATTCAGTCTGTTTCGAAGGCTGAGGTGCCGCATCGGCGAAAACGCTCAAACGAGAAGATGTCTGTTGTTGGGCTGGTTCGTCTGGTCCTGTACTCTGCAGGGTATTGGAGGTAGGCGGATCATGGAGAGGAAAAGGAAAAATCTGGGAAGCCGGGTTTGCTAGACCCCCACTTAATATTTCTCCTGTTACATCGTCCATTTGCATGTCTGCTGTATGGCCATCGTCTGTCTCATGGGCTTCTGACATTCGTCTGAGCTGGGTCATGTTGACCGTTTGATCACCATCGGCATCTCTACTTGGATTTTCAAAGCTATCCTCCGTACTTGCAAAACTATTTTCTTGTGAAGGTGCATTCTCTTCGGATTCTCCTGCATCAAGACTAAGTGAAGCACGGACAGCCATCAACCTTGAGAGAGCATCAGTCAACTCCATTCCATCTTCACTGCCTTCCTCGGGGTCAGGAGGAACATAAGGCGTGCTACCAGAATGAGTCACCGAACGGAGAGCCAGCCAGGCATCATTCGGGGGCGCGGGTGGTCGAATGAGTGGGACAGTAAACTCCATGGGCTGAGTATCATCTTGGGCCGAGTTCAAGGAGTGAGATTCGATCGACATTTCTTCGGTGAATGATTGATCACCTTCCATTTCCTGGCTATCATCGTTGGTCGATAACGGGGGCTCAGATGATATATGGCCTAATGGAATGCGAGATGAAGAACCAAGAGACGGTGGACGTGATCGCGAGATATTTTGCGGAATAAATGTAGTTATTTCCATATCCTCCTCTCCATCAATATCGTAGTCATCAAATTCATCCACGATGGCTGATTCGCCCACCCGATCAAAAAATGCAGAAGGTCCGGGAGCGGTATCATCCATGTCCATGTCCATAGACCGCTCACCTCCTTCGCTAAAAGCGATAGATGACCGAATGGAAGCGCGGCGTTGAAATACTCGTGCACCAGGGTAAGCGTTCTCGTCATTTGTTGCTCTCACTGGGGGGTTGGCTTTGTCTGTCTCTGCTGCAGGAGAGGACTGTGGCGAAGCGGTGCTGTTGGTATTTTGCTCCTGCGTTTCGAATAATCGAACATGGGCATGTTCTGCGAAGCTGACTCGTCTGCCTAGTGATTTCCGGCTATATTTGTCGTGGATCTCTGTGCGAGACTCGTTGATGGAATGGAATGATTCCGTGGCCTCTGGTTCATCTGCGAAGTTAAGCGATGCCTTGAGGATACTTTTTCGAGGTGCCTTTTATAGGATAAGTAGAATGCTACGTCTCGTATTAACAAACAAGGGCTACTTACAAGGGATCGACGCGCTTTCGAAGTGGGGCTCAAGCTTTGTCCAGGTGCAATAGAATGAGCACGCCTCCTCCGTCCTGGATGAGCTGGCTGATTCTGGTTTACAACAGCTATAGATTTTCGCCTGCTAGGGGATCCTTTCCCTGTGGCCATAGCTGTACAATAAACTCCTTATACTGATACAGCAGTGGGTCAATGTGAGGAATATCTGTGACTTCAACACCAGCAAAACGCGTTTCACGACATCACGTGACCTGGTATAGCTGTGGCTGTACGGTGGCTATACATTCCCTTACTCTTGTTCTTCACCTTCAAGCTCAAAATTCAAAAAGCTTTCGAACGTAGCGCAGCACTGGACTATGTCAAGTCAAATCAGTCAAGAAGAACAGCTAATTGAGCTACTATTGCATCTCAAGGTAAGCTGTGGCCTTATTTGATTTGTGCTTGTAATAGTTATCACATATGCAGAAAACAACACCAGAGCAGGCGCGCGCCATTCTCTCATCACAACCTCAGATCGCGTATGCTCTGATAGCTCTGATGGTAAAGATAAATGCAGTAGATGTGCAGGTCCTCCAGGTCCGTCTTTTTTTTTCCCTCCCCAAAAACGTTACACCAAAACGTGTTCGCAGAAAACAGTAACTACCTTCTCCGCCGGGGCCCAGCCCCAACCACCGGCACAAATGCAACCCCTGCAACCCGCTCCTGCTATTCCACCGCATCTCTCGCAGTATCGCACTCCGACGCCACAAGCTCATACTCCTCCTCACGCACCGTCGCATACTCCGGCACCTTCACTCTATTCAAATGGGCACGGACGAGGGCCTAGTAGTAATACGTATTCTGGCACAGGATCTTACCCTAGTCCTTCCAACGGGTATGCTGCACCTCCGGCAGGCACGGGAATGGGTGCGGGAATGATCCCCGATGCACTGGCTGCGATACCTGATGAACAGAAAGTCTGTATCATACATTCTATTTCCCTTTCTCCAATTATTCATTGTGTGATCAATCACCCCCATTTTGTCATCTTTAGGCGATGATTATGCGTGTAATAGCCATGACCCCAGAACAGATACATCAGCTCCCTCCGACAGAGCGTGCAAACATTATTCAGCTGGTGTGTACTTCTCCTTTTCCTTGTTCTGGGTCTCGGTGATAATATCAATGCTTAGCGAGCAACCCTTGGTCTTCCGTCGTGAATGGAGGTTTTTCGAGATGTGCAATCTCTCAACTTTCTGATCTCGCCCACCCTTGCTGCCGTAACGACACAAGCATAATTAAGCGAGTTACCTTTCGGCATTGCTCGGTCTATATCCTGAGATGGCCGGTCATGTCTTTATCGCCTTTGTGTCTCTTCATCTAACCCCGCTCATGGGCAAGTTCTGCAGAACGAAGGCCGCCACAATATGTACAAAAAGCTCTGGTACGATATGTCCCTTGTGTCATTGTTTCCGTTTCAACCCGTTATCTCCTTCTGGGGTGTGATCTGTCGGTTCTCAGTGTTGAGTAATCAATCTGCACATTGACAGATGCGACTCTTTCGCTGCATGAAGTGGTCACACGATTAAGGACCTTTCTTCGCTCATGTGGTTTTTTCTGTATTCATCAGCGCGGTCTCGGACTGTTCTAGAAACTCCTGCCATGAATCTTCCCTGGATCGTCCCCAGTGAGACTTTTACGGTGATTGCGGCTGCTGTCAGTGAGTGAGTTCGTGCATTTGATTTTGATGTTGCGCGTGTGGTCAATGAATGGCCACCATATTTAGCTGTGTAAGTGAGATGTCGAATGAAAGGTTATGAAGGTCACATAAAGTCATATTACACGACATTAAATTCTACCGTAATCATCTTTAGCTATAATCTTGCATTATGCCGTCTACAACACAATAACAAAGAAGTGCGATGCTGCGGTGGTACAGGTAAAGAAGGTCCTTACGCCTTCTCGACGAGAGCTTTGAGATCAGCCTTCTTCATGGCGAAAAGATCGTCGCAACCTGAGGTTGATAGAACGTTGAATCAGTGTGATACCAAGATGGTCTAGATTCCACTCACCTCCTACATGCGTTCCATCTAAGTAAATGGTTGTTTATATTAATTACATGCACCGTGAACTTCAAATGAACCGCACAAGACTTACTAACGAAAATATTAGGCACGGAACGTTGTCCGGTCTTTTCTGCTAAATAGTTTTGAATTGCCGAACCATCATCAGTCTCGTCGAGCCTAACAAGATAGAACCCCGAGTCAGTAATTCCGCCACGAATGAGACCAAATTCGTACGTACTCGAGGACATGCGCTGGAACACCGGGATAGTCCTTTACGAAAAGGGCCTTGGCACGAGCGGAATAAGGACACCAAGTCTTAGAGAAGATGGTAACTTTGTTATCGCTGATGGCGGTCTGCAATCAAGTAGCAATTAATCCGTGACCCTTTGATTAATATATGAACGCATTCGACGTCAAAGCTTACCTCGACGAGATCTTTAATAGCCATGATCTTGTTCTGATATTGTGAAGGAGTTGAGGAGGATGCTGCCGTGGTGGAGAACAGATTGGCGGGAACTTTGGAAGAAAGCGCTTTGTAGAGAGAGGAAAGCATTATTGTAAACTGTAGTATTTTGTCAGCAGTGGTGCAATCCGTCGCCAAAGTCAGATGACCCAGTCGCGATCGGGAACTGCTTATTTTTCGGCACGTGGCGGCACCCACCCGACTGTTTACGACGCTTATGGAGGGACAATCATGATTCGTAGCAAATCTCAACTGAAGACGTCTTTTTCAGCATTACGCTATGTCTGTCGTAGCAAAAACAGTATGCAAAGCCTTTGAACGTATAGCTCCACTTCGTCTTGCCGAGTCTTGGGATAATGTTGGTTTGTCGTGTGTCAAGTCTCGCATAGCTTTGCTCATCCATGTTGGTTTTTCTAGGTAGGATTGATACTAGGTGATCACGTTTCGGTTGGTATTTCCAATGGATACTGTTACTGATAGTAATACGCGAAGAATCGCCGTTCAAACGACCCAATGCCAACAGGATCATGTTAACGATCGAGTAAGCATCTTTGTAACCAGCTTGCATGATATGTCGCAGTCCTCACATCATCCAAGTCTGACACCAGCTGTCCTTGCTGAAGCTTTAGCAACGCCAACCGCATTTGTTATAGCTTACCACCCGCCCATTTTCAAGCCTATATCCTCGCTCACACTCTCTTCTCCCTTACAAACATCCATTCTCCTACTTGCCGCTCAAGGTATATCGGTATTCACCCCTCATACTGCCCTTGATTCTGCATGGGAGGGAATAAATGATTGGTTGGCAAAGATCGCAATTGGTGTAACGGAAGGTCGATCTCCGGGTGCAGGTGGAAGTGTGTCAATTCTAGGGGAGATGAAAGGTCCAGATGAGGGTGGATTGGGGAGACTAGTATTACTTGACGAGCCCGTCGAGATCGACGTTTTAATTTCAAGAATCAAACGGCATCTTAACCTTCACCAAGGTTTGCTTTTGCGCTGGTATATCACGTTAATTCCATCTGATGATACACCGTCTTCTAGTGGAAGTAGGATTTCCTGCCACCGCCAAACCGATACGCAGAGTAGCCATCTGTGCTGGTGCTGGAGGCTCGGTTCTAGCCGGCGTGGATGCCGACGTATACTTCACAGGAGAGATGGCTCATGTGTGTCTTATTCTTGTGTCCTAAGCTTCTCGTTCTAATTTCACCCCACAGCACGAGGTTTTAGCCGCTGTTGCTTCCGGGAGATACGTCGTTCTTTGTGAGTCCTTCGAATGGTATTACTCATAAGGGCTTATGAGCTCACCGATGACATAGGTGGACATACTAATACAGAGCGCGGATATCTCCCTGAACTCGCCCCCCGATTATCACGTACAATTTCCGAGCTTATCCAGAGCGGATCCGACATCGACACTGGTTTATCAGAAGACGAAAAGGATCAAATCAGGAACATGAATTTGGAAGTCGTTGTCAGCAAGGCAGATGAGCATCCTCTGAAGTACATGTAGGAAGCTGTACGTTCACGTTGGAGCAGGTTATGTCCCCTAAAACGAGGCTTTCCTTTGTGGTCTGTTAATCGTCTTTAGTGGCATAGGCAATTGAATTGAAGGGATGAATTCTGCCTAGTTGAGTCATGATCGTAAGTCGATCGCGATCTAGTGGGTCCCTATATTACAGCTTGGCAACATCGGGTGACACTGCGAACTGAGCGAATAATTTTCGCTGGATATCGCGAATCCTGTCACGGTGGGGTGAACCCATTTGGCAAAAATCAGACAATTCTCAATGCACTAACTGGTTCGGGTACAGCATCATGTTCTGATTCACACCAGAAGTCCCATCTACAAATTGGTTCCGCTATCACGAACGAGACCCAACGCCTTTGATACCACATCCCGATCTTTCTGAAATGTCAATTTCGCTATTGCTTCCTCAGCATCAAAGAAATACGAATCAAACGCCTCAGACGCCATCTGCGTTCCTTCCCTCTTCTCGCCAATCACACGCGTCAGATACCACCAGATGAACTTCACACCCTTTCTCCCAAGGTCTCTCACGGTAACAGCGAATGGCTCTATCGCATCATCTGCAATCCTCACCACGTCAGTCGCGTCAACATGTGCGACAGGCGCCCGAGTAGGCATATTGCAAGGGAGGATCTCGCACGGATAACCTGTCTCTTCGAATGTCTCTCGTACTGCTGCTACCTCTATCGACTCTCCACGATCCTTGCGTCCTTTGGGAAGGAGCCATTCGTGTTTTCGGCGTTGCCATAAGATGCATATCTGGATGTGACCCGTTTCTGATGCCTTCCTGAATAAGATGGAACCGGCAGAAATGACAAAGTCACTACCGAAATACTGTGTGGTTGGTCTGACTGAGGCTGCCATGTTACTGTACTTTGCTGTAGAGGTTTTAACGCTGCATCGAGATACATAAAGGATGTGTACAGGCTTTCACAGCCAAGTTACTCACCGATTTGGATACAGTGAAACCTCAGTGTCTTTTTCTTTCTCAGCGACACCGATGTCGCAATACAAAAGGCTCTGCTCTGATACGATTAACGGCTACTTACGACTTCCGATCTCTTATCAGTTTATTTGCACAGCAAGATCGATGACGAATGTAGCAACCACGCCGCGGTGTTTTCTCTCAGCGACAGTGACGCCGTGGCGGATGACAACAAGAATTTGGTGATTGTGACGCGATACCTCTTACAGCTTTCGGTTCCTTTGGTACGTTCTTGAATGAATGCTGTCATCATGTATTTTTTCAAATTGTTGATAGTGCCTTCTCTAGGTCTTACCATAACCTTCACCAGCGTCACGGTTCCAGTTATCGAGTTCGAATAAACGCGATACCATCACCTCATAATTTGACTCGGGGCGAAAGTAACAAAGAAGAGTAATATGATCGCTATGTTTGGTCAACCTATGACACCAAGGGCCTTGTTCGCAGAAGTCATGATCGGGGGCACGTTTTCATGATGTCGAGCACTTCGGAAGAGAGTCTGAAATGTACGATGATTGAGCACAACGTCGGAGCCTTGTCACCTATTTGGCCTCGTCGGATATAGAAGGACCAGGGATAGACATCGCGTTAACAACGGATCGCACCTGTTGCAGGGTCTAGCACCAGGCCAGCCTCTCGGTACACGCGTATCTCATACCACAGCAGTCATGAGTTATGTGCGCATGTGCTAATGGACAGGCGTCATACACACCCCAAAAATCGCGCATACACATGGCTGGTTTGAAATACATGTTCCATAAAGTTAGGGTAATTGAATGGTCAACAAGGTTGAGTTTTGTGATATTGGGTGGCAAACTCACCGAAAGTGGTACAGATGGTCCAAAAGTGAGCCCATGATGATGATGTGGTCAGGAACGTTAAGGAACACACGCTGGGCTTGAGAACTCTCCCCCACCTTGTAACACTTCTTTGACGTGTCAATGAGAAGTATGTTCAGAACCGGGGTAATAATGCCTGATATAACTGCGGGGGTGGGGGGCCTGAATAATGAACGCGGATGCACACACAGCTCAATTCCTTGGTTAGCCACGTTAGATAAGATAAACGACCTGCGCTGGTGGCGTGACAACGCGATGATGCGGATAGAAGTGATTATTCTGGGAGTATTGTGGAGTGGAGCTGAAAGAGAAAATAACAAGCGAAGGCTCAGCGCTGATTAAATGAAAAACCATACAATGCGTAAACATTTCACCGGATCTGGAGGTTTTGGTGAGAGTTTGCGGGTTGTACGTACAAAGACATCACCCGTGATTCAATGCGAGAACAAAGAAATACATAACGAAGCGGTGATATCGCTTCGCGGCCAAATGATGGAACCTTCGAAGCGGAAGGGGAGGGGTGAAGAAAGACCTTCTGGGAGGAACAGGAAGAATGAGGTGTGGATGAGTTGATCGACATCGGGTGAACTGGGAAAGCAGGCACCCTGTTCGGTGAGAAGTCACAAGAGAATGGACCAGAATGGATTGATCAGACGTAATATGTCATTTAAATCTTCGAGTTCGAGAAAACAAGCAGATTGAGAGGGAAAAAACAAGGAAATTCCACGAATATAGTTCATTTATAGCATGATCATGATGGCAAGCTCCGGCAGGATGCAAGGGGCAGGGAAGTTACTCCGCGTAGAAAAGAGCACAGCGATACAGGACATTCAGGCGAAATCAATGTCCGAGTCGGCAAGTCGAAACCAGAACTCGGAAGTGAACGTGAGTTTGCGTGAGTGCTTGAATACAGCAGAGGCGTGTTGTTCCAGAAATACTATGCGATCCAAATGCAGGGAAATAGCAGCGCTACGTTAGACCATTTGGACACAAAAAACGTGTCCGACTCCACCTGAGCCACCAGACGGGATAAATGGAATCCGACGGTTGTCATCGTCGATACAGAAAGGAAAGACGTTGTGCGAAACAGGGTTGGTATGATTAATGAGCAGTAAAGGATCGTAGAAGACCGAGAGGTTGGTGGTGTGAGCAAGTTTAGTACTGGTAACGAGTTTGGGCTATGTATGGTACATACGATCAACGCAGGTTGTCAAAAGTCATGTCAGTGGAGCTGGCTGAACTATGGATGCTGTGGCCGTGTCCGAGATTTGCAAGTAGGACAACACTAGTGCTTTTCCAGTAAATAAACGCTAAAAATGCTACCAACGCCCATAACGAGTCTGACTCGGGCATTGAGCGCATTAGAGTACGCCACAATCAAGAAAAGTGGAGAGAGAGGGCGTGATCAAGACGCGCGTTACCAGCATCACGTGAGAGTAGTCACTTACAGTCGCGCCTTTTTCCCACGGTGCCACTCTGGTACAGCTCCAGCGCGCCACTGACACCTTTTCCTCCCAACGACAACCGATAACGTGTCCGCCATGGTCCGCGAAGTAAAATACGAAATCAGCATGCGCCATATTCCAGACATTTCAGACACGAGCCTGTCCTTCCAAATCCCAGAAAACAGCCAGGCTGACTTTCTCTTGGGAGACTCCACGAACGATTTTGATTCACCTTTCTTGCCATCCGCTGGAGATAATGATAGCTTTGCAGCGCTTCCTCATCCAAACCGCCTGCCCTTAACTCTCAGTCAGCTCACGCCAAAGCCAAAGAGCAAGCTACCTCCGCCTTCTAGATCATCGAGTCCGTCGCAATCTCCATCGCCATCGCCAAAGCTTGCTAAAGACGCTATACCATCGGACCTTCCATGCCCTGGAGCTAGCAGTAATAGCAATGTCGCTAGCGAATTAGCATGTCCGAGTAGCGGGCCTACCAGCGAGCACGCAATGTCCGAGGAGCGTTTCGAAAATCTAAGGGCAGAGGTAGAAACACTTTCCAAAGTCTCGAAAAACGGGGACCAAGTGGATCCTGGACCGGATCATAAGCGCGGTCAAATGCTAAAGCCGAGGCCGAAACCTCCTGTGTACACTAATCCAAAGCTGAGATCAAGGATAGTCTCGAAACACGTTAGTCGCATCTATCTCCTTACTGCTTCATTATAGGTACTCACCATCTATCTTTGCCCATCTGGCGTTCATCAGACGGTGGCGGATGGTGGGATAACGAAATCTACAATCCGAGGAAACTTACCTGCTTCTACTCTCTCTCGGAACTCGAACACCGTTTCGTCGCATTCTCAGTCCCATTTTCCCTCACCATCCTCGGTTTCACAACAACCCAACGATGTTACCGAGGAGATAGCACTTCCACACAATCTTAATCACGAACTTGGAGATATCAGCGTCAGTTCCATTGCCAGCACGAGTTCGCGCCTGAGCACCGGAGGTGTGGCTGAACGCCTCGTGTCATATAGCCAGAAGTTGATATCTTCATTCGGGTGAGTCAGCCGGGTCATGTTCTCTGTGTCTATACTCGTACTGATGCCAGGAACATCTCATGTTTCTTCTCTTTTTTTCTTTTCTGTTTGGTCCCCGTGTGGTCTTACATCGGCATTTTTGTCTGTTCTGGCGTTATGGATCGTCCCCGATATACATGTAATCGCACTAACCCGACTGATTAGGCTTTACAGGTCCAGATCAGACATGGCTTCTTCAGAAGACACCAGTGCTGGTAAAACGGAAGTAGCTATCAGCCCTCACTCTTCTCCTATGACCACAGCCAGCCCCTCTTCCCCGTCGGCAACCGGTGGAACTGATAGTCATGATCAATTCAGGCTTTCAGAAATTTCACCGCGAAAGGGTCAGCAGGGTGACTACCATACCAAGCGGATGGCGCGACATGACGACGCTAAAAGCAATCCAAAGCCTCCCTTAGGGACATCTAACAAGCGCGCCGGTGCCGATGACGACGAGGATGCCTTCTCTCGAGATCATGTTCGTAAGAAAGGAAAAATGGTATTTCCGACCGACCTAGCTGAAACGAAACGCGGATCGTCTGATATGGAAATACCGACAAACACACAGGTTTTGCAGCCGTCTACTAACCATAACGCGTCTGCAGACCATGGTTCATTGATCCGGACTGCACGTCTGCCACCCTTGCACCTTCCTCAGGCGCGGACGAAGTACAGACCTAATGCAAATTGCCAGAAGAGAGGCGCGTCCAGGCCAGCGGTTACTCGTTCTACTTCCTCATGCCCGGACAATGGTCAGGTACTTGGTACGATCGCATCGGGCGGCGCGTGTAGGGGAGTCGAACGTAAAGCCGGCCTGGGTAACGGTTCTGCAACCAAGTATGCCGGTCGTTCACGCTTCTTCTCTTCTCATCCCGAGGCGAGGGGGAAAGGTGTTTCCAGTCGCGCTCATGAGAGGCCTGGCCCGTCGTCTAGAGCTGGAGTAATGCCCATGTTCGAGAAACCGGTACGTGATTCATTAACGGACTGCGCGTCTTAAGTGCGCTAACGTGAAAACCTTTCATCATCACGCCCTGTCTCCTATTCAAACATGTCTGTGTTACGTCCCCTTGCGCGCGCGCGCGCGTACATACAAAGACGGTGACGTTACCTCCAACAAACCCAACGAAACCAACTGCGTTTACGTTTCGGGTAGATGCACGGATGGAAGCTAGGAGGACAGAGTTTGAGCAGAAGCTGGCGGTTACGGAGGAGAAGCGCGCTGCCAAGGTGCATGCGCAGCCTCTTCCTGTCCCTGATTTCAAGGCACTGCACATAGCTCAGGAAGCTTCGTTGGCATGCCGTAAAGAGCAAATTGTTCCTATTTTGCCTGCAGGACAAATTGAATTCAGCACTGAACAGCGGGCGAAAGAGAGGGAGAGATTTGATGAGATGATGAAGAGAAAGGAGGAGGAGATGGAGCGGTTGAGAGAGGAGAGGCGGAAGCAGCAGGAGATTGAGCTGGAGAGAGAGATCAAGGAACTGCGAAAGAAGGCTGTACCGAAAGCTCACGAAGTTCCCGAGTGGTATGGTGATATGCCGAAGAGGAAGGGAGGCGGTGTGAAGGGATGATGAGAGAGGGCGCTGTTGGGGTCAGACGTGTGGATTGGAAATGAAGGAGTACGACAAGTTGTTCATGGTGTGCTACCTCGTGTTTTTTACATCATGTCTGCGCGTTATCTTTTTTTCGAAAGTTGTGTGTTGGGCGCAGGCGAGTCTGGTGACTGAGATGGCGAAGGTCATGGCAGAGGTCTATTCCGGGAATATTGGACAGGAGAGAAACGCACGATGGCCGGCAGAAGTGTATCTGGCGTCTAGGGCCCCAATGCAAGGAGTGGAGGCCGATAGTACCGGAACCTTGTTGGGTGTGTCTTGGAGAAGTCAAATGAGGAGAAGAGTCGGGTGCCACAGACCCATTTGGGGGCTGTGCCCAGGAAGGATGTGTTGTGGTGAGAGCGTGATGCCGGTATGGGACCATCTGTATTAGTTGAGTGATGCTGAGATTTAGGAACGAGATCTGGTATCTGTTGGTAGAGTGGCGTTTTCATGGGATCGAAGTGAGACGCTGTGTTGGGATGGGATGGACAAATAAGGATGAAGCGTATGTGAGCGTGCTGATCCAAGCTGTAGAATGGCGTGTCAGTTGGCAAGAGGCAAGTGTTGGTTTGACAGAGGGAGTAGATGGTGGCGAGCGGCAAGAGAAATAGATGAATGATCAAGGTTGCTTTGTAGTGCTAGGGAAGAGGCGGCTTAGCCCAGACGCAGTGCACAGAGGTGATGCACGTTGACAGGCGAGAAGGATGATTGAGGATCTGTGGTGATTTGGTTCCGCTGTTGGCTGAATCAGCGGTGGAGGAGATGTGCCAATGTGGGTGGACAGATATCGATGGGCCATAGCGGGCAGGGACGAGCCCAGGGAGCGGACCAAGGGCACAAAGGCACAGAATCGTCGAGAGCCTTATCGGGCCAGATCCAGCGAAATCTTTTAGTGCGAGTCAAGGTTTGGCACCAATCCAGCCTTTATTGACCTTCCCGATTGGGAACACACACGAGACCTCTTTTGACGCCACAAGATGCTCTCTTTTCTTCGGAGCGTCTGCCTTTCACCACAGGCCGATAACGGAAGGCGACCGGCCAAACACTTAAAAGGTGGAGCATCTCGCTCTCTTTTCTCCAGCTAGCAGCTACACTACATCCTCATCCACAGCCCACCATGCCCTCCACATCGTCTCTCTCCCACTCCTCCACCGGTGCCACCCCCACCCACAACTCGACAGACGACGCAGACGCCTTTGTCAACCCCAGTGCCCCCCAGTGCTGCCACTGCGGCTGGAGGGGAAGCCACTCCCCAAGCTGCCCCTTCCGTAGCGGATGATTCAACCCACCCTCACCTTGTATTTATTCCGTGCTCGTCCGTCTCTCCTTCCCTTCATCTCCATCCCCTGCTTACACCCTCCTTCTGCAGAATCGAGCTTATGTTACTCGTCGTCGCTCATGTTGTCACGATTAATCCCATCGATCGCATTGTTTTGTCGCACTGTACCACCATACAACATATCCCCGCGTGCTTCCATGCATGCTATTACTGCTGCACGGACTCGACCACATCGGGTTCCCTGTCACCCACTGTACGCTGTCCGGAGAGGAGGAAGAGGAGGAGGAGGAGCAGACGTTAATGGGCCGTAGTGCCGGCGGAGGGAGATCTTGGGCGCACACTAGTTACCGCGCAGATATTTGGGAAGCACTGCTCTGTCTTTGTATTGTCTACTATGATCACAGCATTATCGTCATCATTCGTCATTGCTCTCTGTGCTCCTTTCGGTCCGTGCTGACCCGCCCAGTTTTTTGAACGCTGAAACGCATGCAACATGTTCGGACTCTGACCTCCTTGTTCCGCTGACCCTGTGTGGGGAAGAAGAAGTATCGGACAGCATGATCGTCGGAACCTCATCCCGATATTGAACTTGCCACTTTTGGTCCCGAAACACATCTCTTTAGTCCTGATCCTGCAAAAAACAACACATCTCGTCACAAGCCATCGATGCGATCAACAGTCACACCCGTCCTCAACGCTCGGAGCGCTCGGTCCAAGCGGAAAATTCGTATCTCCTTATCTATTCTCTCCTCGACCTTGGTCCACGCGGCACAACCCGGCATCCTTCTCATCTCGGCAGCCCATCTGCCGAGTAGCCGGTAGCTATCTCTCCCCTTCCCCGCGTTCGCAACCGTCCATCACTCCTTCCAATGCAGCCGCCTCAACATTCTGATGAGCTCAACGTCTCCTTCCCCGCAGAACATGTCATGCTCCTCACCCTCACCCGTCCAATCCAGCTCAATGCCATGACCCCCACCATGAACAACGACATAGGTGCCCTTCTCAACTGGTTTGACGACGAACCCAGCCTCTGGTGGCTCAATCAACTCGTCTTTGCTCTTTCGCTAATGGTCCTCTTTTCCAAGGGTCGCAATCGTGACGGGCGAAGGTCGCGCCTTCTGTGCGGGCGCCGACCTCAAAGCGTACGTGTCTGATTTCATCTCTCTTCCTCCTTCATTCACCCACCCCCTGAACATCATTCCAAATATTAAAAATAACAAAACAAACTCGTCATAATAAAATTTATCATCCCACACCCCTACCTCTCTTTTCCAGATGGTACCAAAATCAGAAGAGCGGTCGTTCTACAGAACAAGAGGATTTGGCTGCCTCCGTGCACGGCTTTGGTTCCATCTCCAGGCGGCACACCTCGGTCAAGCCGATCATTGCGGCCGTTAACGGCGGGGCCTATGGTGGAGGCGTCGAAATGATCCTCAACTGCGATATCGTCGTCGCTAGTGAAGACGCCCACTTTGCGCTTCCTGAAGTTAAGCGTGGCGTCGTGGCCGCTCAAGGAGGTGCGTACGAATCGCGTTTCTTCTTCTTCTTTGCTTTCTTTGCTTTCTTTTCTGCACACACCTCCCATAAGTGTTTTACATTGGATTCCCGCATGAGACTCGGAGTCGTCCTAGACTTTTCGTGTGTGCGTGTGCGTGTGCGTGTGGCGCTCAGATGTGTACTTCTGTCTCTTTTTGGTTTCTCGAACCTCGGCATTGGCATCTTGGCGCATATCTATAGAGAGAGACTCACGCTTCTCCTTCTTCTCGCACAGTGATTCCCAGGATCGCGAAAGTTGCGGGGCATCAGGTATTTACAGCGTCAGCGGGAGACGCAGAGTATACCCGCTCACTGAGAAAAAAACAACCACTATGGTGTTTCTTGCCCTCTAGCTTGCTTCTGAGATGTTATTTTTGGGAAAGACCATCACAGCTGTTGAAGCTAGAGATAGGTTCCGTTTGTGAGTTCCCCCTCCCCCCATCATCGCGACTTTAGGAGGTAACCATCACTAATCACTCGATGCCCCAATCACAAATTCACGACGTCAATCCCCCTCATCAACTTCCTTCCGCACCCCGCCTTACAGCGTCAACTTCGTAGTCCCCACATCGGAGGTAGTCAAAACCGCGATAGGACTAGCGACGCAAATAACGCAAAACTCTCCCGATTCGGTGCAGAGCTCGAAGGAGGGACTGATGCTGGCACAGAAGCACCACTTCGAGGACGCCGTGCACACGCACGCTTTGGGTCTCGTGAGTAAACGAGTGTATCACGGCGCGAATATCAAGGCACGTTTGCTTTTCTTCTCTCTTCTTGTTTTCTTTTTTCAAGGCACCTACCACCCCCCGGCCATCATGTTAACTGATGCCCTTGTTTCTTTTTGGCTTGGATTTTGGCTTCAGGAGGGATTGACTGCGTTCTTGGAGGTGAGCTTGATAAGCCCTAGATGGACGTTGAACGGAAGTGAGTTGACGATATCTCTCCTGTAGAAACGTAAGCCCAAGTGGACCAACCCCGCCAAACTCTAACGCAGCGACGGCTGAACCAACGGAAGCGGGTGTTATTATAAGGGCTTGGGGACCTCGTTTGGATAATACGTCCAGTGATAGTGGATAATGCTATCTGCTGTACCCGTCGGAAAGAAGTTGGTTATACAAATGACTTGACGTCCTGATCAAAAATCTTTTTTTAATATTAATAATATCTCTCTCCCTCCCTTTCCTCTTTTCTCTGTTTTTTTCCTGTGTCAACCTGAAAAGAAACTGATATCGGTGACTATACCGGAGGGAATTTTTATGCTCGTGATTGATTTCTTTTAATCTCTCTTCCATGCTTTGTTTGTACCTGTACCTCGTCCCAATCAGCTTCTATTATGTGGTAAACTTGTGAACAAAAACAGCTATCTATTTCTGCTCTTATCTTCTCGTCCACGAGAGCGTGACGGACCACGTTTTCTTCCCTTTTCCTTTCTTTCTTTCTTTCTTCCTTTCTTTATTTTTGATGTCTTGCTGTGCCCATCGGTGTATCTGTATCTGTGTATCTGCCCGTTGTCGATGATGTGATAACCACCCTACACGCCGCTTAGGCGGAATAGCATTGACAAGATCGCTAAAGCCCGGTATTCCCGAGAGGTCCATAGACAGGGTCGTCAGCATCTGTCAGCATCGCCTTTATACCAGTGTGTACCTCTTTTCGTCTATCCAGATTGGCAGATTGAGCGTTGAAGGGTAGGGATGATCTATTTTATCGTCGCAGTTGTAGAAAATTTAAAAAAAAAAATGAAAAAGAAATTAAAAAAGAAAGAAAGAAAAGAACAAATAAAAAAGTAACAGGTCACGGCGCAGCACCAGTCGCCGTATGCGCGTTCGGACAACACCTCCCAAATGGAGAGAGAGTTTCTCGAATGTGGAATATAAGCAACGGTTTATTCTTAAAGCTATCCGCCCCCCGAGACTGGCGAGTGGGGGGGGGGGGGGGAAAGAGACCGAGCGGGCGATCGTGCGAAGGGACGTATTGAGAAGAGGGGCAGTATGTCGCTCTGTGGGGTGGGGTGTGCCGAGGGGAAAGGGAAGGGAAAAAACGGTCTGAGCGGAGGTGGGCTGTAACACGCCATACGGGGACAACGGGACCTGCATCCCCGGGCCCATGTCTATTAATCTGGCTAGGATGAGAGATGGCGTTGCGGTAGCGAAGAACGAGAGTTTGGGTTCGGTTTTAGACGCGAGCCGTGGAGGGATTTCGATATCTTGAGTACGAAAAAATAAATAAAGAAGTAGGCCGGTCGGGCGTCGAAATCCTCAACTGTGGCTTTGGAGGGGTGGCGTGTTCGATACGAGAGAAAGATGGGGACAGAAAAATACGGGTGATCCCGATCCCTGACTCATGGGTCGATGCCAAGACACTCTTTTTCGAGTACGAGGTTGGGTGACATAGTTTAAGACGCAAGCCCGATGTAGTATTGGACGATATAGCGAACAGCTGCCCAGGTGACATGCCGTACCGCCACAAAAGGAGAGAAGGACAATCCCATAAGCAAATTTAACCAAGTTAAGGTTGGCAGCGCTTGCTCTCAAAAAGGCCCAATGAATAATAGGATCGGAAGGAATAATCTTCGGTTTTTTGCAAAAAACCTGTGTCATAGGGAAGCTTCGGGGGAACTGCATCCAGGACAGGGGCCTTTTTTCTTGATAGACTGTACTGCTTTGCTGAGCAACCGAGCGGGCTGTTCGAACGAGAGTGATGCGCTTGTAGACACTGAGATCTTTGATATGTGACCGTGTTTATCCCTGTATCTGGGGTTTCGGAAGATATAGCAGGGTATAATTGGCCGTACAAGAGCCGCCCTAACGTCCTTTATCTGTATCTCTGTGATTGTAACAGATTAGATGAGAGAGAAGAGGCCCGAGAGGTGCGGAAGGGAAAGAGCAGGGAAACAGGGTCGTGCAAATTCGACTGGCTCCAATGTCAAGAGATAGATAATGGTCGCATCACGAATATATGATTATGATTATCAAGTTGGTTCGAACTTTAAATATTGCTGACAAGATGTTTCAGCGCAGGTTCTGGCCTTGAGGAGATTATTTTGAGAATTAGGCGCAGTCCGCAGCGTCCGGGGCGAGGGAACTGGGTAATCGAGGTCGAGACCAGAGGAAGACGTAAATAAGCGGATTTATGATATTCGTGCATAGTTTATCCTGTGTAACTGGAAGGATCAATGTACGTATTGGATTGCCTTTGGGTGCTTGAGCGCCGGGACCAAGAATAACAGACGGTAGTCGCCCCCTCCGATGACACGATGCAGGTCTTCTAATAAGCCTTTCATTACTCACCGGTAAAATATGAAAGAGCCATTGCGCCGCTGTAAAGATAGTTGCCAACACTGAGATCTCAAGGACAACAGGGGATAATCAGATGAAAGATCAATTGAGTGGAGCTTACATGAACGACGTCTGATGTGGTTGACCCTGCATGATGGTAGGTTTGAAGTCTTGACGCAAGTTATTCGGTCTAAGCCCGCATTGGGCCCGCTATTAGATTGCTGACTTGAAGAGCGTTATCATGCAAATATGATGCAAAGTACACACCACTGCTTTTACGAATAATTAATAGCTGTTGACAGCGCTGATACCACTTGGGCCCGTTCCATGTCCGTTGTTGCCCCTTGAGGTACTTCAATTCAATGCATTGCTGTCAGTTGGCGTCTCTTGAGGGTATAATGCACTCGGGAGTAAGAGGGAAAGATAGGCGTGGGAATGCGTCAACATTTTTTCGTCTGAATATACTTGACGTGGGTTCAGCGCTACCCATGGACCCCGCTTCTTCAGCTCCCCCCATTGACCCGTCAGAGTCCCGTGCATTCAAGAGATGGCTCAGGACAGCTGCCTCCATAACTGGAATCGGACTGACTGCTGAGGAACGTTCACGTAGTGCGGAAGGCCAGAAATTCCGTAATTGCGAGAAATGGAAGAATGAGCTTATGAATTATAGTGAGTAGTCTCACTACCATACTTTGACCATGGACGCATGTGGTAGTCGCAAAGACAAGCTCAATGATGGCTGCAGGTCCGTCAGTGGTATTCATGCTGAAGCATCTTAAAATGTCTGGATGCCCTGTGTCTCCGTCGAATATCGCATGTGCGCCTTGCGACATGACACGTTCGGGCGGATTCCATCCTGCCGGCGCTATAATTCTTTGTCAGGGTCATTTCATGGATAAGAAACACATGGAAGATACCCTAACCCACGAACTGATACACATGTATGATCACTGCAAGTTCAACGTCGATTGGTATAATTTGAGACACCATGCATGTAGTGAGGTCAGTCTCCCGAGTAACAACATTCTTGTTCCTGCACTCATCCTCGATTCTGCAAACGCCGAACAAGATACGCGCAAATAGTTTAAGCGGCGACTGCAGGTTTATGCGTGAGCTCGGCAGGGGGTTTGTCGCGTTCTCAAAACAACATCAGGTGCGCTCTAGTCTTTATCTGGTTAGCTGTGAAAGGACTTCTATTGTATTTACTTTTCACGTGCAGGCTTGCGTACGACGGAGAGCAGTACTTTCTGTACGGGTAAATCCATCGTGCCCTGACGAGGCTGCTGCTGAGCGTGCTGTCAACGAGGTTTGGGAGAGCTGTTTCAACGATACAAGGCCGTTTGATGAGGTACGTGCTAACATTAATACAAGGAAGTTTGTGTCGCACGATGGGTGTATTCAAATGATGATCCTGCATGCAGATTTATTAGCCGATGCTATAATTGCAAGATCCGACTGAGAATCCAGGGGACAGGGTGTTGAGTAATGGCTTGTACTTGGGTCAGTAAGTGCCATTTGTGTATACTAGAGAGCATGGTTGGACGTCAACAAAAAGATATACCTGGCACGATGTCGAGAAAATAGTATGGTTCCGAGTAGGTATACAGTCTATCATTTAAGAAGGTTGGATAAGTGGAATGAATGTAAGACACGCATGAGAAAGGAAGCTGATTCTCCGGAAATCCTCGTGTTCGCCATAACGGCATCGCACGGTGTGCATTGGACGATGTTGCCGCGTGGGAATGCTGCTATATTTGCAACTCCATATAAGAACAGCGTGTTTGACAATAGTTCCCCAACTTTCTCAGTTCGTTTCTATTCTCTCTCTCTCTCGTCGCGTCGTTGTTTGTTTCCTTAGTCTCATCCATATACCTCTTAACGATTAAAAATGTTCGCCAAACTCAGGTATGTCGTTGATTGCAGTCTTTGGTCTCAAGGCGTGCTTGATGTTGATTTTTCTTTTTTCTTTTTTGAACCATCCAGTGCCCTTGCCCTTGCGCTCCCCATTGCCGTTTCGGCTCTTACCCTCAACACCCCTACCAACCTGTCTTCAGGAGGTACGGCTACCATCACCTGGACGACGACGACAGGTGATCCCTCTACATTCACCTTGGAATTGGTCAACACTCTGTTCCACAACACATTTGCCATCGCAAACAATGTGCAGTCCTCTTTGGGTACTTTGACCCTTGAACTACCCATTGTACCCGTTGGGTAAGATCGTTGTTTGATTTGAAGTCTGGCTTTTTTTTTTTTACATACTTGTGTAGTGATGGTTATACCATTGAGGCAATTGAAAATGGGTAAAGCGGGATTTCTAGCTCTTCAAAACATCGTGCTGATAATTTGTTGCAGTAACATCAACGAAATCTACGACACCACCGGTGATTTCGCAGTCGCCTCGGCTACTGTCGCGTCTACTACGTCCACCTCGTCCGCTGCATCAACGGCCTCTGGATCCGTGTCTGCCACTACGTAAGTTATGAAGTGTTTCATCTTTATTTGTCCCCTCTTATATTCCTATAATAGAACTGCCCCTGCAAGCTCTGCTACGTCTGCATCCGCTTCTGGCACCACGACGACTGCCAGTGGTTCCGCCTCGCCGAGTAGCTTCAATGCTGCCTCCTCTGTGAAATTCGGATTCAGCTCTGGATCTGCCGCTGTTGTTCTCCTGTCCGCCGTTGTCGGAGCTGCTGCAATCTTCTAAAAAGTTGATTGAAAACGCGTATGCGCACTTCTTCTTTTTGAGCGGTTCATGGGTATCTTCTTTCCGGCCTTTTCACGAGTTTTTCCTGTTTTTGGTGAAGCAGACGCTTTGATATACCTTGGCTTCCCTTTTTTCCCGTTGAGCATGGACATATTGAACTTTGGACAGTACATATCCAATCCACCCTGTGGGACTTGCGCACATCACCTTTGAGGCTGCACTTCTTAGCGTTATTATGTTTAATTACTACCCTCACTTGATTTAATGGTTCTTCACTGTGCCCGCTGAATCTGTCCATTCTTTTGCATGTAACGTAGGAGTTGCCAGTCGAGTGTTGTTGTTGCATGTATCGTGACTGTTCTGAAGGAATAGTAATCGAGTGAGGGTTTTATCAAACTGCAATACGTACGAGTTGGTGAATTAGATGTTGCGTCATTTATTGTGATTGTTGCGTGATATGATTGACTCGATTGTTGAGAACATTCAGGCTAGAAGCGAATTAATTACTCATGGGCTCAAATTCTAGTATGGGTATAGTCTAAGTACATGTCGAAGTCTCGCTTTTGTCCCAAGTTTTTGGGCGAGTTGGCATGATCAGTCCAGTTCAGATGAATATATACATAGAATCTCAATCTCACAAAGTTCATCCAAAGGACTTGTGAAAAAATAGCGTCCTGAGATCTTTCCGTATATGGAAATAATCCCCCTAGACCTACACGCCCCTAAGATACTTTATACTTTGGAACAGTTTATACCTCGCGTTTCGTCGACACACACCAAAGTTAGCCCCCGAACCCACAGAGACAGTCCCATTGTTCAACTTCCGGCGATGTTAGTCTTTTCACTGGTAAGCCAAATATATCGCACTCAGTTGAGTCACGGTGGGCATGGGAACTGACACCTTCGAACCGCATGAATTATTAGTGCGCCCATCTTCCAATATGGATAACGCACATCTATAATAATAAAAAGGAGGCGAGGGCGCCGTCGGGGTGCTAAACAAGAATTTCAGAACCTGCAACCTCGATTCACCGGAACAACTCACGTCCGTTGATGGACTTCGTACACGCCCAACGTTTTCTCCAACTTCTCCGCACCCTTTTTGCCAAGGAGATTGTGATAGAGAGAAGAGGGGATGATACTCGAGCAACAACACGTTCTTGTTGTTGTCGTTATTGTTGTTAGAGCGGTGACGGCGGCGGCGAAAGGGCGTCAGTTGGCTATGTGTGATTTTGTGAACTATGTACATGAACCGTTCTGGTTATCATTCCAGGTCTATCGAGATGGCATCTCTGCGGGTCTCGCCGGTCAGTAAAACTTGGCATCACGACGTTGAGGAAAGGGATTGATAAGAACAATGTCACGAGCATTCTCTATTTTGAACGGGAGACACGTTATCTTTCAACCGTGGTTCGTATTACTTGACTTACGAGAAGGAAACGCGATAAAGGACCAAAAAGTGGTCCGGGGCTTCGTACCACGGTCTGCTGATAGCGATCTTGATTTTTTGCGAACGCCCGGAGAAAACGGTGACAAACTCGGGGGAAAAATGATCTTATTTTTACGTGAAAAATCCCCGCAATTGCCGTTGACCTTGAGGAAGAGTGGGATTTTGGGTCGAGCTTCGAATTCCCAGCGTATTGAGAAATCCATGAAGAAGCTTTCAGAAGTCTCTCGTACGTCGTGATATTGATGCATACCTAGTTTTTCGGATAGAACTGATATGACAAGGTTTGACTAACCTCCAGGGACGTCAGTGTAGATCGCATGAAGACGAACGGGTAACGGGTTAGTTCCGCAAAACATGAATATGAAAGCAGTTCGTAATGTCTTCATCTCGCCAGATCTTTTGAACCTCAGATGACCAAGTTTATCTGACGATGGTGATAGCACATGTTCGGGACCTAATTTTCCAAGAACGGAATCGGGCACAAAGAGGAATAATTCAGCTCATGAACAGGATGTGTAAGATGATGGAAACCATGTAATTGTCATGTGCTGCACATAGGCAAATGAAATACATATGAACGTCCCTGCTTCGAGCATAGCATCCATCTCCGGCGTAACACAGGACACCGTAAGAAGCGAGTACACTACTTCAACTTCTTCTTGCTAAAGATTTGAGATGTTGAAGTCAGTGAATTGGATGCAAATTTGTAAAGTGGACATAAGACGTACGGGCGGAGTTGCGAAGAGTGTCCGCATCCTCTCTTCCGGCAGTTGGTAGCACGAGGAGGGAGACGGGCGTAGCATTTTCGGCAGATCTGCTTGTCGCAGTTGTATTTGGAAGCAAGGACCTTCAGCGAAGGCTCAATGATACCTCCACGGAGACTACGGCATACCGAGTCAGCCAAGAGAGCAGGTCAAATGAAGTTTTTGAAAATGCGCACCGGAGGACCAAGTGAAGAGTAGACTCCTTCTGGATGTTGTAGTCGCTAAGAGTGCGGCCATCCTCAAGCTGTTTTCCAGCAAAGATGAGTCGTTGTTGATCGGGAGGAATACTAAAGTCCCATATGATTTGTATGAGCCGAGTTCACTCAAACTTAAGACCTCACACACCCTTCCTTGTCCTGGATTTTAGCCTTGACGTTGTCGATGGTGTCGGAAGACTCCACCTCGAGGGTGATGGTCTTCCCCGTAAGGGTCTTGACGAAGATTTGCATCTTCACGGTCTGTTCAGCGGTGGTGAATGGGATAGACGGCTTGGGCGATGCTTACCTTTGGTGCGGGTTGGAGAGCGTGGAAACCTAATTTCAGTGTCCTATACAGCTGAGCTCAATTGGGTCAGCCACTGTGTATGTGTTTAGGGCCGGTTCTGTGATGGGGTACAAAAGGGCGCGTGTGGCAACTAGTGCTGCCCTTGACCGTGGCTCTGGTTTCGCTGTATGGCGCTGGGTGTATGCTATTTCGTGGTTGAAGTCACATGGTGAGTTTTTTGTACTGCCGTTCTTTTGCTTCATGACTTTCTTCTATACCAATTTTTATGTGATGATAAGATTTTCGTTAACTCAGCTCACTTCGATGCCCTAAGGGTAATGAGAAGAACGCGATAAACCTACTGACTGTTTTCTGTTTCAAAATTTGCCGTGGATTTTCGAGTCTAATACTGACTTCTCTTCTTGCAGTGGATTTCCAAATTAAGGCCTTCGTATCAGCGCTGGTTTGGTGAGAATCTTAGAGTGAGTACTACCTTCACGTTTATCTGTTCGGGATGCAAAACTTTGCAAACAATCGCGATGTGCCCTGCACTCTGGACGTTTTTCCTTCGGGAACCATTCAAGTCTCTGACCTTCTCAATTTGAATTATTTCAGTTCTTGTTTCTCATATATTGCCCTTACAGATTGTTTCTTCGATTTCTTTATCAAGTTTTGTTGTTATCAATTATCACTGTCCATGCAATGCATAACTACGTCCTGTATCCAGTATTATTTTGCAAAACATCCTTTTCTTCTGCCTGTCAGTGTCATAAATTTGACCTCCCGCGGTCGGTGGCAATATGAGTTTTTAGCAATGACTTTTATTAGACAGCCCTGACCATCTTCTTTCTTTCCGCCTTTGACGCCAGCCTGTCGGTTTGACACCATGTTCCTCAATGTTTTAGTGCTGGTCGGTGTCTGCACTGGCGACAAACATCGTGGTTTGCAGTGAGGAGAGCAGACATGGCGTGATAAATTTAGGCTCAGAGCCTATTGAGATCAAAGCCGAAATTGGTTTAGTGCTCTTGCCACGATTCGTGTGCTGAGCTCAAGTGTGGGTCAAGTCCGAGTCTCTTCGGGTTCTGTGCCATTCGTGCCACCAAAGCAAACAGCACATTTGCCTCGTTTCCTTCTTTCCTCTTGGTCTTCTCGTTATTCTTGCCTTTTCTTTCCGCATTTCTGTCCGTCTTTGCCGTCGGTCTCTTGGCGGAACACGTTTCTTGGCTAACGCGGCGAAGTCATGTCTAACTTTGAATTGGTAGACCCCCAGGGATGGGAGTATGATCTGCAGTCGGTTCGTAATCGCATGTATGGTTTTGAAGGTGCAGAGTTATTAACTGTATTTGCAGGTCTACTCAGCATACATGGGCCATTTCCAGTTGCATAATGTCCAGTGGTGAGTCATTAAACGAACTCATCCGCTGGCAACAAGTCTCAGTAGCGGATGTCAGGTATGATCGTTCATGGGGACCTCTCTTTGAAACATTTGAAGAATTCTTGGGTTTCTCGTGGCCTGTCATCACTGTGACCGATGCTTGGACTGGACGTCCACATATTGTCACTCGTATGACCTCCATAGGTGCTTTTTTGAAAATGATCAAGACCAGGTATGTATTTCATTCGGCACACAATTCGGATAGCCCTAAGTGTTTATATATATGCAGATTTGGTGAAACCTTGCCGACAGTGGATAACATGCTCAAAGTGCATCCATTCGAGACTACCCAGAGACATCTGCGCAAGGTTCACGACTGGTCGACCTACAAGAAAATACATTCTTCCCTCCCGGCAGTCGTACTGGCCGCATTTAAACAACGCGTCAAGTCTGGAGAGCCAAAAGCTATCCGCGAGCTGTGGGCAAAAAGGGATAAGACATTCTTGTCGATCGACTTTGAATGGTCAGAGAGGAACACCACTTCGTGCTTGGAATGGGGCTACGCGGCCATGCGTTGTGGTCATCTAGAAGCGTCGGTCCTTTTATTTTTTTTGGTTCCGCACATGATCACTGAAGATGTACTAGAATGGGAGCTTGGCCTCCGGTAGCAGAAACAAACTATCGGTCTGTGTGCCTTGTTATATTTTCAATCTCCTTTCTGATCCCGTGCTATCGCAGAAAGGGGCATTATATCATATCTGAGTATGTCGACAAAGTGCATAACAAGCACTGTCCCACGTACCCCTGGCATGTTCGTTGATTGTTTATCATCTACGGGGAATTTGAATCTGATAGCGTCCTTTTTTGTCGTAGTATGCTGTACGCATTCTTTGTTCCGGAAGATGCATGGAAGAGTACTGATAGTGTACTGACAGTTTGGCGAAAGTCAAGTGATAGGCAAAAGTAGGTTACCGCAAGTGATACAGGCTGTCATCAGGTACCCAATTTACTTTTGGTAATCGGAGCATGATGCACTGACATGTGCTACAGTAGTCTCGTCAGTCCAGACTCGGAGACTAGTTCCAATAATCTTGTCCTCGTGGGCCACGGTATCAATGCAGACTTGCAGCGCTTGGAAGAGATGAAGATCAGTACGTGACTCCGCATATAGTCAACCTTCATTTCGCTCATGTTGTGCCATAGAGCTACCGCATAACGTCCTGATCGTCGATACGGCAGTATTTGAGCGAATGCTCTTCAATTCTGGTCAAAGGGACATCATGCAGGACCCGAAGGCGGGAAAACCGCGGTTGCCGGGATCTACTTTGGGATTGGGAGGATTACTGCATTCGCTCGGGATCGACGTCCAATGTGCTCTGCACAATTCAGGGAACGACGCTTTCCTAACCCTACTCGCCTTGCAAAAGCTTTTAGACCCAGAACATACCGCCATTCCGGACACCAGAGGCAAAAACAAGCTCAGGATAGTTCCCCAGACTCTCAGCGCTGTCCCTATCGTTCCCAGCATGTTTATGTCCGCTTCACCACGGATGTCACGGATGTCGACGATGATTCCTGCGCATGGAGGGGTTGTTTCTCCCGCAATGGATTTTTCGCAGTCTCAGTCGCTCAGGCCCGATCTTCTTAGGCCCCAGGCTACTGGTAATGGCAGCCCTGACGAATTGGGTCAGATACGTCGAAGCTCGCGTTCCCCACAAACTTCATCTGTTGATCGCAGAGCGAAGCGTATGAGTGTTCTGCCGCCTCCTTTGCCATCTCCCGCCAGTAGCGGCAGTCACAAAAAGAACAATGGAACAAAAGTAGACGTTTTGAGGATGGGAATGGGGTCGATGTATCTGAAATGATACATGGATAATTTTAATGCGAACTTTATGAACAATCTACCAGGAAGCCTCACATTTCTAACGAATATTCCCTTATCGTATAACTCTAGGCATTGATAGTATTCTCTTTTTTTTTTTTGCTCAGATCTTAATAAACTAGACTCGGACTGGGACATTTTATCGAAACTATAGTGGATATCTCTGTTATCAATCAATAGTCTTTTCTCAAATTACGAGATATTCCTCAGTGTTGATGACCGAGTCTGTGGAGAAAACTGCCTCTTCTCCGTTATCCACACGGTTGACCGATGCGACGCTGACGCCAGCTATACTGCCCTGACCAACGAACGAGACCTTGACGGGGAAGAAGGTGCTGATGTCGTCTCCACCGACTGTGAACTCGAATGATCCAGAGCGATCCTCAGGGGTGATCAAGGGGATGGTCCAGTCCAGTGAATGAGTGGACGAATTGATTGTCCATGCCCCAGATTGTGCGGGAACAGTTGGGTACGAACCAGCTCTGCAGGACGGTCAATCATCGGCGTGCAATCACACCAAGGGGATCAAACTTACGGAAGAGGAATTGAAATAATCACGTCGTGCAGAGTGACATTTTCATTCTCGAGCTCATACTCAATGTTCACTTCACACGTCCCGTCATTGGAGGGCGATGGCCAGCAATTTACTGACGACTAGCGGTAAGTCACAACGCGGATGAGAAGCGGCTGCGTTTACTCACTTGAAAGTGGGACATAGCTTTCGTCTTTGCCTGCATACCTCCATTTCAAGACTGCCAGCGCCTGGCCAACAGGGAAGGCGCGTGAGGGGTCTTTCAGGGCGACAATCTTTTCTTGCCCTGGGATGAATTTCGCTACGTGTGGATGCTGCTTGAATTGCAGATCGGACCCGAAGTCGGTGGTCGGTGGTGCCAAGGCGAGCTTGATGTGTGCGAGCGAAGGATCTGACACTTGCAAGTTCATGTCACCCTTCAGTTCCATTGACTTGAGTCCGCCCTCGCGCATTAGCGAGAGTGAAATCTGCTCCTTGATAACAACATGCACGCTATATGCGAGTTAATCCCTTGTCAATGATCTGGACAAAATAAAATGAACGATGCATCTAGCGTCACCGACCTCTCAGCATTTATAGAAGGCAGACTGCCTCTCGTGTCCTTGGGTGCAGCTACTTCCAAAGCAGGTGTAGGGGGAGCAGATATTTCTTCAACGGATAACGCTTCTCCACCTAGAGCATCTATCAATTCTGCCTGTTTTGTCTTTTTACTACCAAGCTTCATTCCGCTACCCTTGAACGCTGGACCGCGAGTGGAAGACGCCGGTGCGGGGGACGCAGTACGCGCGGCAGGAGCCTCGGGGGCTTCAAAGCGTTGTGGGAGGGCTGAATAGCCTGTGACGCCTCCACCCAAGTAGGAGCTTCCACCGCCGCCTGCAGCTGCGCGTTTTTGTTGTTCCCTGCGTTGCATCTCCAATTGGCGAGCACGGCGCTTGAGCTCTTCTTTCGCTTCTGCTTCTTTGTTCTAATGAGGCATAGATTCATGTCAGTATAAGAGGTGAAACTAAGCTTGGTGACAGAGATGAAAGTCAACTCACCCTGGCGATGATATCTTGGATCTTCTCTTCGTGAGACTCCATCTCCAGTACACTCCGAACTTGCATCAAGTTAACTTGCTCTCTATACCCCAAGCTCACGATCTCGTCGAAAGCACTCAACAGCTCGAAAGAGTTTCGCTGAATCTCGCGCTCGTCGGCACTCCTGCACATATCAGATACTACGCGAGCAAAAAGATGCAAAGTCTCGATGTCCTGCAAGATATTGGAAGCCTTGTTGGTGATGAGCAATATGTAGAGGTCTTCGAGGGGCTGGTATACGAAGCGAACATCGGACGTTTCAGCGATTGTATGCTGGCTGTTTGTAGGGATGACTTTGGGGAATGAGGCCAATAGAGACTCGATCCTGGCTCGTGTCATTGGGTGGAATTGACGAGAAAGGACGGCTAGAGAAATCGTCAAATTAACTGTAAGATATTATATAAAGAAAATGAGTACCCTTTCCGCCCTTTGTACAGATTGAAGCAGCGAGAACAACCTGGCGTCGCATTCGTCGTCAGCTGGTCAACATGAGTACTTTATTGCGCAAACCAAATTCTTACCATTCTAAGAGCGTTTATGTATGTCTATGTCGTTTGTCCAGAGAAGAAATGGTCTCGTTAGCTTTGGTATGTGGTTACCGCAGCGAAATGGACGGTCGACGTGGTTGGGCCAATATCTAGAAAATGTGGCGCTGAAAGACGCGTATCGCCACGTTTTGCTGTCTCTACTCAACCACTACAACATAGCTATTCCACACATACTCGCTCGTCTTTGTTGATTTGACACAGGCTCAAGAGAACGACATAAGAGGACATGCGTGACGACCTGTCTATGTTTTCATTGCACTTTGGCGAGGAAGTATACTGATTACACATAGTCAAACCGACTGCTCAAAACGAGTACTATGAAACAACCTTAAACATGCGCTTGCATACAGCACAACTTTGATCGTATGTATATCACAGTATTTTCATGTATTGGTACAGATACTCGTTAACATAAATAGCGCAAAGATAATATTTGGTGTGCAATCTACAAACGCCCATAGGCATCCAAAGCTGGACGGCCAAACGTAGCCTGTGGTCACCACGATTAGTACCTCCTTGTTTGAAGTCAATTGTGAGCGGAGGATTGGACTTACCGCAGGTGCTGGCTTGTTTTGTAGGATGGCCTCGATCTTGTCCAAGATATCTGGCGTCAGTTTTGGAATAACTTCCAGGGCTTTCAAGTTGTCGACTACTTGTTCGGGCTTCGACGCTCCCAAGATCACTGTACTGGTGTTCGGGTTTTTAGCCACCCATGCCAAAGCCAAGTGGGTGACCGAACAACCAAGTTCTAGTGGAAGTAGCGATACTATGAGTCAACCGCCGCGGTCATATCACACACATATACACACCAGTTTCAGCCAATGTGGTCAGATCTTTAACCTTCTGGATCTTCGCCTGCCCTTCTTCTTGTGTCAGACTGTTCAAGGTGTCCTTGAAGAAGTCTGAGTGAGCAGCGAAACGAGAGTCAGGTGGAATGCCGTTGTTGTACTATGGGGCATGGTCAGCGCTAGACTGAAAAGAATAGTCAAGACGATTACTTTTCCCGTCAGCAGGCCACTAGCCAAAGCAGACCAGACCGTGGTGCCTACTCCGTACTTCCTGTAAATGGGTGCATATTCCTTCTCGGGGCGTTCTCGGTGCAACATGCTAAATTGCAACAATGGTTACTTTCGATAACACACAGTTGCTCAAAGAGATACGCACTGGTGCTGGCATTGCTCTGCGATGGGAGGAATCAAGTTCAGCTTTTCGGCCACGTCTAGGAAAGACAAAAGTGAGAACGATGATCAACCTTGTACAGGAGGATAGAACTCAACGATAAGCTTCCTCGATGTCGCGAGCTGACCACTCTGACGTTGCCCAGTAGAAAGCCTGATGTGAAAGTGAGTACATCATAGCACCATGATAACGCAGCACATACCCAACCCTTCTCAATAACATAGTTGAAAGCACGAACAACCTCCTCCATGGGGGCTAGTTACACGGATTGAAATCAGCAATCTAATCGATACCACTGAACTTCGATGTTGCGTACTTGAATAATCGGGACGGTGAGCGAACAACACATCGACGTAGTCAAGTCCCATTCGCTCAAGTGATTCTTGAGTACCTTCGATGATGCTTCCAAGATCGTCAGTAAATGCCAGTTTCTACATAAAAAGAGCTTTTGCGTACTGTTTTCTGGACAAACCGGTGTCGTTTGGTCCTTTTCGGGTACCAAAGAACAGCTTCGTGGTAATGACAAGATCAGTGCGACGATATCCGAGCTCCTTTATCACCCGACCCCTGTGTTAACTGCATTGGAATCACAGAGCAATATACATCAAAAGGAAGGACTAACATCTCAATCTCCGATCGACCTTGGGCATATCCCTCTGCGGTATCAAACATGTTGATACCATTTTCGAAAGCGACCTTGATGATTTCCTGAATTGATGGCGAGGTAAGTGTGTTGACCCTCCGGTTTCATTCATAGGGGAAGCTGACCTTGACGGGATCTCCGATGACAGTGCCTCCCAGGGTTAGCCCTATGATTATAACCCATCAGATATCATCATCTCCCCATCGCAGATACCACTTACACCCTCCAAGAGAGAACACAGGCACCCGCAGGCCACTGGGGCCCAAACGGCGGAAGGGCATGTTCTTGGGGTCAAATGCGGTCTTCACAACTTGCGACATGGTGTTTGATAAGTTGTTAAGTCAAAGTCCAAGGGAAAATGAGGGATGTGTGAGTGATATTCTCGAGCTATATAAATGGCAGGAAAATCGTAGGAAAATCGTATCGCTAAGCAAGGTCTATATGGTGGGTCGGTCCGACAGTCAGCAAGTCAGCAAGTCTCCACACTAAGCACAATGTGTATTTTCGATGAAGAGCGATGTTCTGACTTTGTGCTTTACGTCACCGGGGAATAGGAGCCAATGGCGATCGAGCTATTTGCGTCATTGTGAGTAGATAAGATTGTCCGACGTTAGCCCACTTGGAAATCCTTCAATATGCGTGATATACTATCACGACTCATATCAATCTGCCAATCCTCTGGTCGACATCTCTGGTGCTATCATATCGTTTATTTGTAACAGAATGATTGCAGCTGGAGCAAAGATCATGGGCATGGGCAACTGACCTGTCGCGGTGGGAAACGCCTATACATTGGTGCTTTCTTCTCTGACTTCTTTTGACACCCTGTCTCCCCTTTTCCGCAAGGTTCGTGTATTACACTGAACATATGACCACTATGGCTTATCCTCCGAAACTCCTTTTTCGCGGATGAATCACTCATCCAGTGTTCAATAGAGCGCGGGGTTCCTTGTCGCCCCGTTACAGTTTGTCAACCATCACAGAGGTAAAATCCACACCATGACACTTCTCCGTGCTTGTTACGCAAACTTGCAAGATTATGCTAATATGGTACAGTTGACTTTTATCTGCTGCTTATCCTGTGTCATTCCATCTTACCCACCTCCGCCCCGCAGATGCTCAGGCCTTATGGGCAAATATGCATTACAAACGACCATAGCTATCCAAAGCCGGCCTTCCGAAAGTAGGCTGTGAGGATCGCACAATGAGTTACCATGAATAAAACCTATCACTCGATAGAACATACGGGAGCTGCGGGCTTGTTTTCAAGTATTGCCTCAATCTTGTCCATCACCTCAGGTGTAAGTTTAGGGATGACTTCGAGAGCTTTCAAATTGTCAAGAACTTGTTCTGGTTTCGAAGCTCCGAGGATAACGGTACTGGTGTTGGGGTTTTTGGCAATCCATGCCAAAGCCAAATGGGTGACCGTGCACCCGAGCTCTGTAATGGAACCGAGTCAGCTTTACTCCTCTATAGGCCACACATAAATAATGACCCACCGGTTTCTGCGAGTTTGCTCAGTTCCTTTACTTTCCGGATCTTCGTCAGACCCTCCTCCCTCTCGAGGCTGTCCACGGTGTTCTTGAACATGGCGTGCATCGCGAACCGCGAGTCATCCGGAATACCGTTGTTGTACTTGCCAGTGAGGAAGCCACTGGCGAGAGCGGAGAATACGGTTGTGCCCAAATCGTATTTTTTGTATAAACCGCTGCAGATACAAGTAGGTTGGTACCGGTAAGTGTATATGAAAGCGAAACTACTGACTGATACTCCTTCTCAGGGCGTTCGCGGTGGAACATGCTGTTTAGTATTCAGCAAGAAATTCAAGTAAAGCAAAAAGAGATGTATCACTTGTGTTGGCATTGTTCCGCGATGGGACCTTGTAGGCCTAGTTTATTAGCAACGTCTAGGTATGGGCGTCAGCAGGGATCATCTCGAAATTCGATATAATCCCCAACGCACGGTGAGCCTCTTCGATCTCATATGCGGACCACTCCGAGGTAGCCCAGTAGAACGCCTGAAAAGGAAAAAGGGATGAGTTTGATTTTCCGCTGAAGGCTTTTGAGTAGACTTGCCCAGCCCTTCTCGATTACCCAGTTGAATGCGCGAACAACTTCATCCATAGGGACTAGACAAGCCCATCGTCAAAGATCATACGAGGGACCAGGGCAAGAAAGCCATACCCGATACGTCAGGACGATGAGCGAAAATGACATCGACGTAGTCAAGTCCGAGCCGCTCGAGACATTCCTTCGTTCCCTCGATGATGCTGGTGCCATGTCAGTTTATGCAAGGTTGGGATCTCATATTGATATGTATACTTACTGTTTCCTCGACAGACCACCGTCATTAGGACCCCCACGCAGACCCCAGAAGAGTTTTGTTGTGATAACAAGGTCAGTGCGACGAAGACCGAGTTCTTTGATCACTCGACCCCTGAAGTTCGGTATTAGGTAAACTCGGTCGAGGGAGGCATGTCTGATATCTACTTACATTTCCTCCTCCGACTTACCCTTGGCGTACGCTTCGGCGGTGTCGAACATGTTTATCCCATTATCGAATGCAACTTTAATGATTTCCTGGATATTCAGACAAAGAGATAAATTCGATATTGCGCTGATGTATGATACGTATGTCTGACCTTTACGGGATCGCCGAGAACCGTTCCTCCTAGAGTCAACCCTAGATTGTGTATTCTTTTGAGTTCTTCGAATATATGCTGTGAGTTAAAGATTGGGACGACGTACAACCACCCAATGAGAACACCGGCACTCGCAAACCACTGGGACCCAGCCGGCGGAATGGCATGTTCTTAGGGTCAAACTCAACTTTGACAATTGGGGACATGGTGTACTGTTCGGAGGGGGACGTTGGAGAGTTGTAAGATGGGGGTGGTTTCGAGAAGACGAGAATATCTCAGGCATGTCCAAAGCAACGAAAGTATTTATCCCATCGACGAAAAGGATAGCAATCGGGTTCGGGCCGAGATCAGAGAAGGGCATATGGGATTCTATATGATAGTATTGCGAGCACCATCGTTGGAGAACATAACCATAAGGAACACTGTCTAAAATCTCGAATCGCAACCAGCCAACACGTTCTGCAGCAGAAAAACGCATCAACTTGGAGTATTATCAGCATATACTAGGCTTGAATACTGGTGCCATTCCTCTCTAAGAAATCCATTCCGAGTAACACTTGGGGGTCGGATAGTCCAGAGTTCCACGTTGGCCAGCCTCATCACGAGTACGGTTTATCTCATGGCATACCACTCGTCGTTGCGGGGATCGACAAAACTTCGGAGTATCTGTAATCAATAGAAAGTTCGACGATCTATATTTTTATATCTGGGGACCGGCTAAACCAATGAGACGTATCAATTTCATTATCTTGCGTTGGGTGCTTAGACGGTTAAATTTATACAAGTGACGCTGGTACAGATTGGGGGAGAATAACGTTTGCAAGCGCTTGCGCCTGCGTTTACGCAACTCTGCACATTGTTGATTCAGAAGGGCGCAGAAAATACTAGCCTAGGCTAGAAATGGTCAATGGAAGGCAACCGTCGTACTGTATCCAGTGGATCAGAAGATAATTCCAGAACACACATAGCAGACATGGTTCTCGTAATAACAGCTCGATGCCAGCCAAAAGTTCTGCCAGTGGCGCGGAGTAGGGTGTGCACAATGGACGCCAGTGGATACCAATGGCAGGAGTCAAACATCAGAAATAGTATGGGGGCGCACAGGTAGAAGACTGTCAACTGAGGAATATGAGACATTGTGTGCTGGATATAATGGTGCTTGCCGGTATCGCACATCGAATTCAGCGATGACACTTGCCACGATCTCCTCGGAAACTCCTTGGAAAATAGTGTCAGCATATAGAGGAGGCCCGATCTGATGATCCTTTGCGTTGACGATACTGGTTCCTGGGGCCTTGTCGGTATGAAAAAATCTATTAACTAATCAAATAGATTAGCAATAATGCATAAATTATATGGTCTTTTACGGAAACACGGGGGTGGGGCAGGGTAAAATGATACGCCGAACTAATCAAAACAGACATAAGATTGATACAGGGGACTGACCGCGCTTGAACAGACAAATACGGCCAACTATCCGTCTGTCAGGTATCGTAGAGCGAGAGCAAGGGACAGAGGTATCTGGGAATCTTGTCAGACTTGGCTGAAAAAGAAGGTTTCGATCTGGTGCATAAGCCGCGTATCAGCGATAGACGGTCACCCCAAGTCGGAGACATGGATGTAAGAGGATATGGATATAGGTCAATCTTTTCGGAACGTGGAGCATGCACAAACATGCAGGGACGACACTTGGGGTGGAGTCAAACTGTAAAAATTAATTCCTGCCATGGTAAGTACAACTGTCACATCCTTAGATTAGGCCCAAAACAACACGATCAAAGGTCGCACCGGATTTTGCGTTGACACCGCCAGCATAAAGTCTGTGCCATAGGAAACGTGGACAACGATATATCATGCTGGTCACATCAGAGCAAATCAGATGTCATAATTATTTGAATAGAGCAACAAGACCAACAAACACAGATATCTTCGCTTCCATGCCAATCCGGTCGAACTGTTCCTTGATGCGGGTCTTGTGTGCTCAGGTGTCAACTCAGGCTCATCGAAAGAGGCTCGCACATATAGGCTGAGTGGTAATTTCGAGGTGATCAAACACAGTGCTTCGATGACTGTAAACTGTTGTAGGAAGTGCGGTCATAACAAAGGCAGAGAGTGCATACCTTGAAAAAACAGCATTTTGATGAAAATTAGTTTGAACGAGCTGACTTCGCATCAATTGTATTCTGTTCGAACCACGCTATCGTGCACCACAAGTTGTTCTTTAATATCCATCAATTGGTTTTGCTTTTGGTTCGTTCTGAATTTTTCAAGTACGAACGGAGTGAACCTGAACTTGAAGGTTTAAATTCTGTATCTGAGTCAAATTGGCGCCTAACCTGTGCAAGTATCTCTGCGGTAAATCCCGAACATCAGTACGGTAGACGTGCGTGTTGGATACTAAGGTCAATAATAAGTCTACAATCAAAGATGCGCCTGCGCTGCGCCGCGGTCTAGCGCCTAGCTGTCATTCCAATGGTGGATGGTGGATAAGAAAAGCAAAATCAACACGCCTTTGAAGGGCGCTTGTTTTGAAGGACCAAAGAAGGTGTGTGGGTTTCCTCGCTATATTTTCCCCAATACCGACGAGGATATTTCACCCCTTTCCTACGCATTCGTGGCTGTCCTTTCTTTGTTTGTCGCCGTATCTAAATATCTGAGGAGACCTAATGTATGCTTGGCTTTTTGTGCTTGACTGGCCTTTTGACCGATTGACCGTAGGTCGATAATATCCCAACAGTTGGCCCTGATGGCTTAATTACATCGTACTGGGGAGCTTTTAAATTTTTATTCTACGCTCGTGAGATGTTACAGGAAGGTTACACCAATGTTAGTGCTCTTACTACCTCGTCGTGACCACCTTCACTCTGGTGCATCCTATGTAGCATAAGGGCAAAGCCTTCAAGATTCCAGGTTTATTCTCCTGGAATGTCTTCCTGAGTGGTTCCGAGCTCGTCGAGGAGGTCCGAAAAGCCTCAGAAGATCGTCTCTCTGCTCGTGAAAGAATCAGTGATGTGCGTGGCGCGTCTGAACCATTTTTGGTTCATAATTGATGCTGATGTGTTACCTTGAAAGATTTTGAAGCTCAAATATACTCTAGGCCATGAGATAATGGACAACCCTTATCACATCCCAATTATCTTAACTCAGCTCACCCGTAACCTTGCTGCTCGATTTCCGGACATTCTAGACGAAATTAAAGCTTCCTTCGATGACAATATCCAACTAAATGGCCATGGTATGTTTTCATGTTATCTTGTTTACACCTATCTGCAACACCTCGCGCTTCTTTTTCAGAATGGGGAAGCGTGCCTGCATTTGAAACCGTCGTACGAGTTGTATGTCGAACAAGTAATCGTGTATTTATTGGCCTTCCGCTATGTAAATACTATCTTTTTCTAGCCTCATACCCCATATTCATTAGATTATAATTAGGCCGCGATCCCGATTGGAATGACCTGGTTTCTGGATTCTCCCTCGATGTGGTCAAGACTGCAGCCATGATCGATTTGTTTCCTGAATTTATGGCCCCGTACGTTCCAGCACCTCAAACTCAAATATGCTCTTTTTAGTAACTTTCAATGCAGTCTCGTAGGTAGACTCCTTTCGAAGTTGCCTCAATCCGTGCAGCGAGGAATGAGGCTTTTACGGCCTATAATAGAGGAACGCCAGAAGTATTTGGATGACTATGGGAGCGACTGGTATGAAAAGCCGGTACGCGGTGTGCGAGCGCATGATATACGCATGCTCTCATGAGAAATATATAGAATGACATGCTGTCATGGCTCATGGACAAAGCACAAGGAGAAGAACGTTCAGCGCAGAATCTCACCAAGCGTGTGCTAGCAACTAATTTTACCGCAATCCATGTATGTCGTTATTGTTCAAGTTCATTGCCTGTCTCACGATCATTTACTTCCCACTACAGACATCATCCGTTGTATGCTCTTTCTCCTAGTTAATCTTGTAGCAACAACTTAGCTTCATCATAGATTTTTACACATGCTTTATTTCATTTGGCCGCAAACCCTCGATACATTAAGCCACTACGCGACGAAGTGGAAACCATCGTAGAGAAAGAAGGTTGGTCCAAAGCCGCGTTAGCAAAGATGCGGCATGTGGACAGTTTCTTAAAGGAAACGCTAAGGTTCGATGGCCTCACTTTCAGTAAGCCCCTGTCAGACTACACCCATTTAATTGACGAAGTTAACGCCCGCGTAGTATCTATGCTCCGCAAGGCTATGACAGATTTCACATTTTCCGATGGCACATTCATACCAGCTGGTTGTACGGTGACGGTCGCATCGTCGCCTATGCATCATGACAGTGAAATATATGCAGACGCTGATGCATTCGTTCCCTTCCGATTTGCCAACGAGAAGCAAGAGGGGGAACAACCTTGGCAGCAGATGGTTTCCACCAACCCGCAGTATCTTGCTTTCGGACACGGAAGAAATGCATGGTCTGTTCTTCGAGTATCACTTGAGATAATATTCTGATTCATGAAATTTGTGATCCTTAACAGTCCTGGGCGCTTTTTCACTGCAACTGAGTTGAAAAGTATGCTAGCACATGTTGTTGTGACGTATGATGTCAAGTTCGAGGACGAGGGCGTGCGACCAACCAGTGTATCATTCGGTACGGCCAATTCACCCGATACAAAGGCAAAGATCTTGTTCAGGAAACGTGTAGAATAGTAGAACCTTTGTACTAGGATAGATGGATCCGGAATGTGTATGTTCAAGTTGCTTAAAGCAAGGAAATACCAGAGTGTGCGACTCGACAAGCGGCTCGGGAATTCACGAAAGACCATTGAAACCCCGATCCACTTCTTACCACCAACGACGATCTTCTTCTCTTCCTTTCATCCCCAATACCTTACAGCATCTCTAATACGCGCTCTATGTCATCAAACATATCAACGCTCGGCTGGCCCGAATCTCTCAAACGTATTCTTCAGCCTGCTATCCAGGGACCAACAACTTCGTTCTCAAGCGGCAATGCAAACTTGCGATCATCCAAACAGCCCCTAGGTGTCCTATGGAAGGCAGCTCTCACCTCCCATATTTTTGAAGACCTGTCTTCTGGGTTAAACTATGGCCGACGTGTTCTTCGTCTCGATTACTTTGGTCTACAGTCTGTGGTTTTGTTTGAATATCCTGGTATTGCCGATGGTGACACTGAGGATGCGGACGACCCGTTGGATCTGAGTACCGTGTTTGGCGACCTCGATAGTCCTCAAGACGAGAGCATAAGCGTCGATCAGCTCATTTTTGATCTAGTTTCAGCCAAACTTGTCTACGTACCGTCATACGCATGCACATCTTTTGTCGTGAGTGTGAAGGTCATCGCTGATTAAAAAAACATTGCATCGATCATTTACCGATGTATCTCACCCACGTTTCGTACAGACAGGTCAAGTCATCCACGCATACCTTTTCTCTCCTGAGTCGTATCCAAGGCCCACAAAGAACGGTTTTGTCGTTCATCCTGGATCTATGCTCAAAACATCTGTGGACGTCCCTTTCCTAAGAAACACAACACACCTCGTCGAGGATACCATGTTTATAAGACCACTTCCGTGTCTCGATTCCGATGATGACGATAATAGGGTGGCCAATACCTCGATTTCTACCACCGCCTCGGATTCTCCTGGACCTTCTACTCCTTTGAATCTATCTTTCCGATCGAGGCCTGTTCTCTTGGACTATCTCAACAGCGCACACTCGATACATGTCAATCTGTTCAAGTCGCCTCCATCCAAAGTGTCTCAATCAACCACCTATCAAGCCGGTACACTGTTACTTACACATGAAAACGACGACCAATTAACTGAAGTAAGGGTATCTCTTACCGAGCGTGGGTGTGCTCCCACCGGCAAAGAAAACTAAGGCATATGGCTGTTGGATTGCAATTTTCCTCATAACGCTGGCAGTTATCTCACTGTCTTTACTCACTGGCAGCCTTATGCGGCTACACATTTATGTACCTCAGGCTTGCAATGGGATATTTGAATTTGTCTGTCATTCGCTCGAGGAATTTCAAGATCAAATTTACTACAAGCACCATTGGGCACGGCAAGAAGGTACAACAGCAAGTATAGAGGATTTCTAGCGTAAAAAAGACGGCCTAAAACCTTTCCCAGTTCTACTACGAGATTCAGAAGCTTCCTGTGTCAGTGCAGGAGAGCGCAGAGAAAGTATGGCAGACGATCCTCGAGATGCTTCGACCGTTACATCGCTTACAGATGAGGACGGCGTGGAGTGATGCTGCAGCAACTGAAGTGGTGAGTACTGTGAAACTGGTGTAGCACGAACGGTAACAGATCCACGGTGTCGAAAATCTGGCTGTCCGAGTCTCTGTACTGCTCCCAGGCTCAACGCTAGCAATGGATGGTCAGTAAACTGACAAGGCTAAGATAACAATGATCTTCATCCATTCACTCACCAGAGATATTTGGAACAGATATGTCATTTTGTTTTGATTCTAAACTGCCGCCACCTACTTCGCCACCACCCGAATAAGGGTCATGATCAGCTAAGAGTGTATCAATCTTTTGAAAGGGACTAACTAACCTTGACATGTCATCCAATTAGAACCATGGACGAATCGGTCATATGAAATACGTGTCTCAGGTGCGCCGATGAGCCTTCTAGTACGAAAGTCGCACCAATTTTGGCGGTGTACAAGCGGCACCCAGTACAAAAGATTTTGGTCAAAAGGAAATTCAGGACTGACCGCAAAAGACACCCAGCCTGAAGAAGACGGTGACTCCACTTGGTTGTACGGCCTGACGATTAGCTGGCAATTCCAGATTCTGACTGTTCTGTCATCGGATCCTGAAGCTAGATGTTTTCCGTCTGGCGAGAATGCAACGCAGTTGACCATGTCAGTATGACCTTGAAGTGCGCCATGGCCTGCTGCCATTTTACCGGTGGTTATATCCCAAATTTTGAGTGTGTCATCCATTGAGCAGGAAGCCAGCCACTTTCCGTCTGGTGAAAATACCACTGATCTAACTGCTTTTGTATGGGCATGAAGCAAGTCTACCACAATTACACCGGTGACCACATCCCAGACCTTGATGGATTTATCACCAGAACAGGAAGCTAACTGCTTTCCGTTTGGTGAGAATGATACAGAACTAACCAATTGACTATGTCCTCGAAATGGGCCTCCCACCATCTGGCCAGAGGCTACGTCCCATATCATTATTGTTTTGTCATTAGAACTGGATGCTAGTTGCTTTCCATCAGGGGAAAATGAAATATTGTTGACCTCATCAGTATGCCCCTGAAATGGATCTGCCACCAACTGAACAGTTACTACATCCCAAATTTTGATTGCCTGATCACCAGAGCTTGATGCTATTATTTTCCCATCTGGGGAGAATGTCACACAGTTTATTCTGGCAGTATGGGCTTGGATTGGGCCAGCTACCATTTGGCCGGAAGTTATATCCCAGATCCTGATGGTTTCATCATGGGACCCTGATGCCAGTAATTTTCCGTTTGGCGAGTAAGCAACTGAGCTGACTTGTTTGGTATGTCCTTGCAATGGGCCCCTTACAATCTGACCAGTAACTTTATCCCAGATCCTGATTGTCTGATCACCTGAGGCTGAGGCTAGGTGCTTCCCATCTGGGGAGAATGCAATAGAATTGACCCATTTATAATGTTTCTGAGCTGTGCTTTTCGCTGTCTCGCCAACAGTCATTACATCCCATACCCTCATGGTGTTGTCACCGGAGCCAGAAACTACTTGTTTCCCATCTGGTGAAAATGCAACAGAACTGACCCATGCACTATGGCCTTGAAATGGGCTGCCTATCATCCGACCACTTGCTACATCCCAAATCCTGACTGTTTGATCTCGTGAGCCAGAAGCCAACTGCCTTCCATCTGGCGAAAATGAAATAGAGCTGATCCACATAGTGTGGCCTTGGAATGGACCTGCTACCAGTTGGCCTGAGGATACGTCATAGATCCTGATTATTTTATCAGAAGAACCCGATGCTATCCACTTTCCGTCTGGTGAGAATGCAATAGAATTAATGCTTGATAAATGCTGCGTATCTGGTTGTATGGCAATCTGTCCAGTGGTTGCATCCCATATTGTCACCGTCCCATTAAAACAGCTTGAAGCCAATAGCTTTCCATTCGGTGAAAATACAACTGAAGTGATAGATTGACGATGTTGCAATGGCAGCATTACCATCTGGGCGGAGGTTGCATTCCATACCCTAATGGTGTAGTCATCAGAGCCAGATGCCACCAGCTTGCCATCTGGCGAGAACGCAACACTCGTTATGCCTTCCATGTGACTAAAAAGCGGTCCCACCACCATGTCACCGTTGGCTACATCCCAGATTCTGAGGGATTTATCATGAGAGCCCGAAGCCAATCGCTTTCCATCTGGCGAAAACGCAACAGTATTGACCATATTGGTGTGGCCTCGCAAATGGCTCATAATCATCTGACCAGTAGATATATCCCATATCCCGACTGTATAGTCATTAGAGCCTGAAGCCACTAGTCTTCCGTCTGGCGAAAATGCAACAGATCTGACCGCGCCTGTATGACCTGAAAGGACGCTTGTAACAGACGGCCATTTCTTTTCCTTGCCAGCCACAGACAACAACTTATGAAACCTGGGGAGATATATCCTAGATACCAGAGATTCCCTAGGTGCAAAAGGCAGAGCAGATAAGTAAATGTGAGGCAAGCTCTGCGAAATAGGATCATTGAAGTTGACGATGAATAGCCGTGCATCTTGCGCAAACTTTTCCAGATCCACACTGACAACCTGTGGGTGACCGCGAATTAATCCTATCCACCTATCCTACGTTGGCTAATAGATTGACTTACCCTAAGATGTGGGGTTACGCTGCGAAGTAGCACTGACGCGATTGATGTATCGTAAACCAAGCTAATTACTTCAAGCCAGTGAAGAAAATGGGTATTGAAAAGCGTTGCAAGCAGCGACAAAATCCAGTCACAGCCTGGTATGCACTCCAGGGCATCCATTAGATGATCTGGCCAAAACCGACACGCATAGATCAGGTGTAAGCCTATATGCTTCCTGATGCGCTCGAACATATCCTTGACGTCGCGATTGCGGATATAAGATGTCTCCAGTCCACAGATATTGAATTTCAGACCGTGATCTGGATCATGCATAATCTTCAAGCATGCACGCAGGAGGTCCAGATTTTTACTGCCTCTTGTGCTAGGATCGATACGAAGTGGGTCAGGACATAATTCCGACTGCAAGAGAAATTCTGCGAATGACAAGTGGCCAATACGAACCAGTCCGTCATCACCAGTTGAGATTACCGATTTTAACCTTTCTAGTACCAGGTCAATCGCGCTTTCCTTGACAGATAAGAGGATAAAGTGTTTGAGATGTTTGCGTGGCAAGGGAGTCTTTGAGAAAATGATCGCCCCAAGTAGCGGCTGAAACACGGCTTTACTCGCTTCATTCATTTGAAGGCTCCCTAAGGCATGAGTAACGAGTTGACGATAGAGACCATTGATATGATCGCGTACTATCATAGAATCACCGGAGAGTATAGACTCTAGCTGTTCCTCTGGAAAACCTTGTTCGATGAATCGCATAACAGTCTCCGCCCAAATGAATAGGCCTGCCGCGCGAGTTGTCAGCTTTTCGATAGCTGACAGTCCTGGCCAGTCGGTAGCCTCCAGAGAGGGGAAATCCATCTTTAGCTGATCGAAACGATTGACGAAGAATGTGCGAACGTCGGCCAGCGCTGCAGCAGTCACTTGGTCTCCAGTGGGAAGCACGACTACTTGACAAGTCTGACGCAAAGACTCCGGAACACGTTCATCTCGGCTTGTAATAATTAACTTCAGTGCCTTGGAAAGTTTGGACCACTGGATAAGAGTATCGATTAAAGCTTTGCGCTGTGGGTACTGAGATTTGTTGCCACATTCGTCTAACGCATCAATGACAATGACCGGATGTCTATTATGTGACGCCCTGAGTTGATATTTCGGCTTTGACAGGAAACACTGTCTTACCTGCGTCCCTGCTGCATAGTGAAATAAGGCTCAGAATCTACTATAGGTGCTTTGATAAGAGCATTAAAATGATCTTGAATGTCTGGCCTTTTTGGATCGGCTCGCCGGTCCTTCAGATTCTGAAGGATGGTAGACGCAATGTCAGTGTTGAAGTGAGCAAGCTCGTATGCCACAGTGCGCCATAGAGCGATCGGGTCGCTAGAAGAGGCATCATCCTGGCGAAAGAAAAAGGAACCACCAAGCCGACCCGCCTGGGTTAGCTGAGAAACCAAACTCGATGCCATTGCGGATTTTCCTGCGCCAGGATTGCCTTTGATCCAAAGAATGTTTCTATCCGCCGTCGGATCATCTAGCCATTGGTAGACTTCTTTGAAAACATCCTCCCGAGTACCTTCCATGCAAGGTTGCACGTAACGACGAAAACGGTCGACTGGATCCAACCTCGACAGAACATCCTCATTTTCGGCTGAGGTCGCACGATAGACATTGGTAACATTCGTGGTATAATTATGTTGGTCACCTGCGATATCGTTAAAAACGCTGTGACTAGCATCGACGTTGCTTGAGTTTTGAAAGTAGGGCATTGTGGGGGGCAAGAAGAAGCTGGTTGGTTTTCAAACGTAAAACAAAATCGATAGATCATGTGATGGCGTTGCATAGTTTCTGTCACTACTACTGCCACCGTGCCAAGCTTAGTTCCAGTTTCTGTTTTTTTTTGACATTCACGATGATGTTTGGAGGACTGACAGCCACTCCAGTATTATCCGGGACATCTTCGTTTTAGGCTCACAGTAGACGAAACAATCCATATATCAGATCTGTCCTACAAATCGCCTGTGAAGAATCGCAAGATGTGGTGGCATTGATGTGACCAGGATGGTAATGAGAATGCAATGATCAATTTCTCGGGTTTTTTTTTACGGCTGTCCTGGAGATAAAACGACAATATTTGTATGCACCTGGTGTTAGCATCGTTGAGTTTGAGCTATTGAGAGGGAACGAATGTCTTCCTTCAAATCTTTTGGACCGCCTACGAGAGATTAGAGATCCAAGTGTTTCGAATAAAGGGTAGCGGCCATCTTGCATACGGTTTTGTCATCTTCGATTTGGACGGAGGTACAATTTCAAGGAAAAGCAAGTTCAGGCTAACAGCCGTAAACGAAGGAACGTCCGTATTGGGGCGACGCGCATAAACTCCGCGAGCGTCGATATTATCTGATCGTTATCTTATCCATCCACGGTTAGCTCATTTTCACTCTAGGTATAAATCATCCTAATACACTAGTCTTCTGCCCAAAGACTGAGCTCATTTTCACTCTAGTTCACTGAACTCAACAATTTTCTGATCGATAGACATGCCTGAAGTCGCTGTCAAGAATAAAGTATGCTTAATGTGAGTATGCCTTCGTTCTGTTCATCGTCGCCAATGTGATACCGAACTGGCTTTCTTTTCCAACTACTCCCATGTATAAAAAGCGTGCACGATGGTTGGGGAATCGCACCTTCTAAAGGCATCAAAGGAAACGCCATCGAAACTGCAGATACAACCCACATGGACACACTCTCCCGCACAAACCAGAATGGCGACGGCTCGGGCGGGTATAGAACGCTCTCTGCTCATGGAGTTGCTGTAGGCTTGAGCGAAGGGCTCATGGGAAACTCTGAAGTTGGGTAAGTGTTTCTTTCTTTTCCTCACTGGTGGCAATAAAGAAAAATAGACAAACTCGTCTATCTAATCTGCGCTCGCCTCCGAATATTGAACCGCTTTAAAGCCATCTCAACATTGGCGCTGGGCGTATTGTCTGGCAAGACATTGTAAGAATCGACGTTGCGATCAAGAAGAGGCTATTTCACAAAAATGAGACGATTCTCGCGAGCATAAAACGCGCCAAGGAAGGTAACGGGAGGTTGCACTTGGCTGGATTGGTGAGTTGGTATCTCTTCTCTGTTAATGTCTCTTATGAGCATACTCGGTCTGCTTGACTTCATTCAATTATTGTGGTTTGAATATATTTTATTATCATTATTTCTTAATATCTAACCTTGATTGTCACCGTTTTACGGATTGGATGAAACTAATACTGACGCAAAACTTTATCTTCCATATCGCTATTTATGCTGTCGACCCGCTCATGCAATATCCAATCTCTTGACGTCTGCCACTCTTCCCATTTCATCTTAATTTCAACTTTTACAAACCAATCTTCCTCCATCCTGCCGTGGCCTAGATCTCCGACGGCGGTGTCCACTCACACATAAGCCATCTCTTCGCCCTTCTCGAAACGGCTAAAGAAAATGAGGTTCCACACACCTACATCCACTTCTTCGCCGACGGGCGTGACACTGCTCCCCGCTCCGCCACCATCTACGCAAATCAGCTCCAAGACTTTATAGACAAAGAGGGCTACGGACAGATTGCGACAGTGGTGGGGAGGTACTATGCGATGGATAGGGATAAGAGGTGGGAGAGGGTGAAGGTCGCTGTTGATGGACTAATCAAGGGCGAGGGTGAAGCGCTGAGTAAGGAGGAGGGGCTGATTGACAAGATTGAGGAGAGGTATAAGAAGGATGAGACGGACGAATTCTTGAAACCAATTATCGTTAATGGAGACGATGGCAGAATTAAAGGTGCATTTTTTTTGATTATGTCTTCGTCAATTAGTGTAGCTAATACTTGTTTCGCAGAAAGCGACACGTTGTTCTTCTTCAACTACCGCTCAGACCGCATGCGTGAGATCGCAACGCTCCTTGGAAAGCTGGACACGCCGATAGAGTTGGATATACCCAAGGATCTTGTACGTCATGTCCCATTTCACGCTCGTTCGCTCGCAACTAACGCCGTACTTTTGTCACTGCGAAGCACATCTCGACGATGTCGCGGTACAACGCTGAGTTCCCATTCACTGTAGCTTTCCCTCCACAAGCTATGACGAACGTCCTGGCAGAGTGGTTAGGAAAGCAGGGCGTGAAGCAGTCTCATATTGCTGGTTTGTCCCTTCAGTTCTCCCTTTGCTCTACCAATACCTAAACTTACCTGTCTACCCCCGCACTCACGTGAACAGAGACAGAAAAATACGCACACGTCACGTTCTTCTTCAATGGAGGTGTCGAGAAACAGTATCCCTTGGAGGAACGTCACATGATCCCCTCTCCGAAAGTCGCAACATATGATCTCGAGCCTGGGATGAGTGTCCAAAACGTAGCAGACAAGGTTGCGGAGGTTCTGAAGAATGGAGAAAACGAGTTTGTCATGTGTAATTTTGCACCACCTGATATGGTGAGTCTCTTCTAGCTTCCCAGTCATTTTCTAAGAAAAACAAACCTGTGCCATCGATTCATTCGATGTATTTGACAGGTCGGACACACTGGTGACTATCAAGCGGCTGTCAAAGCCATCACCAAGACAGATGCTGCCGTGGGTACGATCGCGGCGGCTTGCAAAGAGACGGGGTACGTTCTGCTTATCACAGCTGACCATGGAAACGCGGAGCAAATGTTGAATGCGGAGACTGGGGCACCTCATACGGCGCACACGACGAACAAAGTACCGTTTATCATGGTTGGCGGGACGGGGCTTAAATTTGCGGAGGAGGGAGGTAAAGAGGAAGAAGGCAAGGAAGAAGGGGACAAAGGGATCAAGGAGAAGGCTCAGGAGGAAGAGGAGGAAGAGGGTGCGTTGGCAGATGTAGCGCCTACGGTGCTTGCTATTATGGTGAATACTCCTCTTTTCTGGTGATTCAGTTGATAGAAAACATTCTGACAATGTGCTTGTCTATAGGGTCTTCCTCAACCCGAAGGTGAGCGATTTCTTACTTTTTGCATTCTTATCTTCTGTGCGGTGTCTGATTCATATCTGGCCAGAAATGACTGGTCGCTCTTTGCTTGCGTGATTGTGTGGTGTATATAGTGTTATGGTGTTGTAGTTGTCATACCACGAAGTTAGACCTGACCATGTATCAGGGCGGTGAGGTCTGTGAGCGGGGGCAGCGGAAGACTCGTAGAACTCTAAAGGGTTCAATGCTGATATTATTAGTAGAAGCGAATGTATTATTTTTCTTTGATTTTTATAGAATTCTGAGGTTGTTCTGTCGATGTTTGAATGTTTTTCTTGGCTGAAAGCTATGTAGGTGTTTCAATCTCTCCACATTCGGATTTCGCACGGTGCTACGGGTAGTTGCATTGGACATTATCATACATGACGAGCTCACAGCACTATGCCGATGGACACCATTCATATTCTTAGTTAATACTTCCATAACTTGACAAAACCGGATAAACCCGGTCTCTGCTAAAGCGGCCATTGTTCTCCATGGAGCATAGCCACCACTCCATGGAGTCACCACTGTTTAATAAATCGTAGCGGCGCCAAGTCGCCAGTCCCTGACTCCGAAACCGAAGATAGTGCAGACTGTAAGAAAAACCAATAACAACATCGTGCAATGTATTTTGGACCAAGAAAACAGGATCACTAAGCAATTGTTTTACAATACAGGTAAAATTTTAGCTAGCTCATTCTTGAGCCTCGACAACGTCTAAATCCAGCATTTGGAACAGATCATTGAGTTCCAGATCAGCATCCAACATCTCCCACTCATTGTTCTATGCACTCTTTTTCCGTGGGTGAAGATGACCCTGCCTCTGGCTCTCCCTGGGCATACCTCTTACCCTTGCCCTTTTGCTTAATCTTTTGTGCCCTAGCTTCAACTTCGGCATCTCCAACATTTGGAGCCCCATTGAAAATGGACTTCTGAGCACTGATTGACCTAGGTAAGACTTGTAAATTTTGAAGCATAACATTATATGCTCAAGAACCCCTCTTCTCAGGGTTCCCACTGAAGGCCCACCTGTGGCAATAATATAGTCAGACAACAAATAACATCATGGTTCAAAAAATATTACAGCTATTAAGTGAATTTTTTTTTTGACCGAGACTATTGCACCATGCTTCAGATGAGTACGGTATTCAGTAGGATGAATCAAAGTCCCATCTTTATCACGAATGTTGGGGATGGCAACCAGCATGTTGCCTATGTCATTTTGAGCTATAAGTCTCTTGTAAAAGCTGTTTGGGTCTGGCAAACAAACTGGGGGGACATACATTGCACAATACAGCTCTTAATGATAAAAGAATTAATAAAACTAAGTGAAACTACAATAGATGTTAGTTTAAGGTGATCTCTAATAAATGTAATGTAACATACCTCAGCTGCTGCCCGAGAGGCTATAGAAACGACTGAGGTAAGCCTCCTGGTAATCAATCCCCTCCCTTTGAGTAAAACCTCGTGCAACAATCCGGAGTTTGTATCTCTCAATGTTTCCGTTTTGATCAAACTTGATCTGGAACACAGGTTTTGATGTGATGGGTTTTACTCCCTTTGGAAGTAGAACAGTGTCATATACTGCATTAGTCACTCCCACTCGAGTGCAACCATAGTCCCATAGCTTAACTTCCATAATTCTCCATCCGGACGTGATAAGGCTTCCTTTAGTGTCCTTGGAAGGTCTGTGTTAGATGGACCGGTACTTGCTATTCCAGCAAAGAATGTCTCCTCTGTATCAGATGTTTCTTCATGAACCTCAGGAGTGTTAGGTTTCTCCATGGAGTTGTCATGCTGCTCTTTTTGAGACTGTTCCTCATCTAGAGTCCTTTGATAATCTCGGTTTTTGTCTGCAGGATGGGTCTGGCAACTGCTTCTGTGTACTCCTAGGACTTCAGCAGGCATGACTGCTCTATTAGGAACTTGTGCAGGTACTCCAGGGAGTAAACACATTTGTGTATTTGTTGCCCCACTCACTCCTGAAGGTGTTGAATCACTCCTCGGAGGTGTTGTATGCCTTCCAGAAGCTGATCCAATGGACAGGCTGTTTAGCTGTATTCGGACTTTTTCCACATCAGCTGGCTGTATGTTGAGGGGCTGTCCTCCCACTGACTGTAACTCTACTTTGGCTTTCTGTTCTGAAGATGGCCAGTGTTCAGGTCTTGGTTGTAGAGACTGTTGTGGAGGGTGTCTTAGCTGATCAGGTGCTCCCACTGCTCTCGGAACGTCTCCACGGAGGTATTGCCCCACTGCTCTTGGAACATCTCCTTGGAGATGTGGTTCCATTTGCAATTCATTTGGATCTTGGATCCGAGGGTCAGGATCATCCTCCTCCAATGTTTTTTGGTCTGGATAGTGAGCATTCTCTGGAATGAGTCCCTCCCACTGATCTGTGCTAGTGTCTGTGTTCCAGGGAGCAGTGTCATCCTTTTGTACCTTTCCGGATTCATTGAATATGACATGCCGACTGGAAAACACAGTCTGTTTTTCAGTGTCTAGGAGTTTGTAGGCTTGCTTTCCATGTGTGTAGCCAATCATTATGGCTTTGCGCCCCTTGGAGTAAAACTTCCCTTGCCTTTTGTCTTTCGGAATCAAGGCATATGCTTGGCATCCAAAAGGGCGAAACAAAGTTTGATCAACTCTCCTTTTAAACAGTATTTCATATGGGGTCTTTCCATGGAGTCCTGATGCTGGGCTGCGTGCTGTGATATATGCAGCTGTTTGCATGGCATCTACCCAAAATGACTTTGGGAGCTTGGAATCATGGAGCATAGTGGTTGCTAATGTAGCCAATGTCTGATTCATGAGTTCTGCAATGCCATTTTGTTCCGGAGTATCCGCAGCTGTAGTTTCTTGAATGACACCATCTCCTCAGAGTTGATTTTTGAATGCATTGCCAGTATATTCTCCTCCCCCATCAATCCGGAGAAATTCTGTGTATAGTGGAGTGAAGTTTTCTTCTCCCAAATAAGTCCGGAAGAATGTTTAAACATCTTCTTTCCATTGCTTGTATCGTTCCAGTGCTTCACTTTTATGTTTTAGGAAATATATCCATGGAAATTTGGAGAAATCATCTACAATTATAATCCAGTACCGGAAACCCTCCCTGGAAGTTGGTTTGATTGGTCCTCCAACATCTGTGTGCACAATTTGTATGGGGTGCTTGGCTCGGTTTCCTCCAGTGAACTTGAAAGGTAATTTCTTCATCTTTCCTAAAGCACAAGGTTCACAAAACTCCGGGGTTCCGGTAAGGGTGTCTATATCCTGGAGCTGTCTTTTTGTAACCATTCATTGCAAGCGGTCCATTCCGATGTGTCTCATTCTCCTGTGCAATAAATTTACATCTACTGCTGCAAAAGCTGACTCTGGGTTGATTTCAGGTTTTGCTTGGATGTAATAAAGTCCTCGCTTGTGTAACGCAGTGAGGATAAGTTCCTCCAATTTCCGAACTTCACAAGCATTTGACCCTGCTGGAAAAAGTGTTGATAACCCCGTTTTGGACAATTTGTGGACAGAGACAAGTGCTAAAGTGAAGTTTGGCACAAGTAAGGCATTTGACAGTGCAATATTGTAGTCCTTTTTGCCAACAGTTGCTTGTAGGATTACTGTTCCAATGCCAATGGCATTTACAGAGGATTCATCCCCAAAACTGATTGTCCTCGGAGGATGCAAAACATGGTATGTTCCTGGCTCAAACCAGGAGCGGTGAGGGACCATGTGGGATGTTGCTCCGGAGTCAATAATAATTGTTGTTTTGGACTTATCGGGTTCCAACACAAGGTAAGCTTGAATGCGTTTAGCAAGGGGCTTGGAAATATGTACATGTTCCAATGCAATATGACTCTGTTCCTCCTCGGAGTCAGATCCAGATGATTGCTCCGCTGTATTTGCCTTTTCCTTCTCTTTTCCTTTATCCTTGTGTCTTTCCTTTCCCTTCTTCCTTTGACCTTTTCCAGCTGACTGAAGTGTTTGACACTCCAAGGTGTTGTGTGATTTGGCTTTGTGGAAGTTACACCATTTCTCCTCGGATTTGAGTGCTGTTTTGGAACCTCCAGGGGCCTTCCCTGACTGTCGTGCAACTTCTGCAGTGATCCGGATCTCAACTGCATCAAAGGTAAGTTTATTTTCTTCAACCGTGTTGATTACTGATGACTGAAATATTTGCCATTCAGGAGTGCATGGGAGAGATTGGAGAAGAGCAAAAGCCATGAGTTTGGTATCAACTCCTAGTTTCATTCCGGAGAGGTGTGAATCAATTGTCCGGATTTTTGCAATGTGGTCCTGGATAAGTGATGTCCCATCCCAGGACAATTTGGTGAGTTGCTGGAATGAATAGAAGGCCAAGGCAATGTTGGACGTTTGATGGAGTGAGACAAGTTTATCAAATAACTCCTTGGAGCTGGTGAGGTCTCCAGTCCTCATTAGGAGGGCATCAGAGATGTGGTCCTGGATGATTCCATGTGCCTTCTCATCCTTAAGTATCCAGGTGATCTCAGGATTCTCCTAGGAGGTAGGTTTTCCTGGTGAGGGCTTAAGCTCCTCTCCAGTAACAACCCGGAGAACTTTTTCCTGACGTAGCTTTGAGATGATCCGGAGTTTCCATATCTGAAAATTGTTGGGTCCAGTGAGAACTGGACATGTGGATGTATCGCGTGCTGTGGTCATGGTTCCGAGGTTGCCGTTTCAAATAAGAATTATTTCCTGCGTAGCTTTTGCGCACCAGGGCTCATAACCTAATAAAACTATGTGAAACTCAGCCGCTGCCCAAGAGGCTATAGAAATGACTTTATTATTTACCTATGTGAAACTACAATTGATGTTAGTTTAAGGTGATCTCTAATAAATGTAATGTAACATACCTCAGCCGCTGCCCAAGAGGCTATAGAAACGACTGAGGTATTCCTATACTAAACCCCCTACTACTTATAGTCGGAGGTGCTACTCGCTACAGTATAATGACTCCTAGGAGTACAATTGTGCTCCTAGGAGAACAATGGTTACTCCATGGAGTGGTGGCTATGCTCCATGGAGAACAATGGCTGCTTTGGCAGAGACCGGGTTTATCCGGTTTT